CCACATCCTATTAGAATTAATCCCTCCATAGCCCCCACCAGCCTGCCAGAACTGATGAAGCTTCTTGGATGAGCAGATTCTTCTTGGATGAGATTCTCCTTCCTCAAGAATAAGCTGTCCAGTTGCCTTCGAAAAAAGCATCTAAGTGTACACCTGCATGGAATCCTTTCCTTTTCTTCTTCAAGTTGGCTAAGTACAGGATCGAAGAGCCTATGGACATCTAGATGATTATTATTGGCCATACAGACTGGAAGTTGTAGTTCACAGAAACCAGGTAGGTTCCAGAGTCCCCACCCAGTGTTGTTATAAGAGCATCACTATGGAACCGGATTCGCCCCATCACATCAGCCCGTCCCACTCAGTCAGTCAAGGAATGCATGCTACAGACTCCATCAAAGAATTTTGACTGGCAGGGTCAAGGAAGAGGGACTTTTCTTCTGCTGCCCCTACTTTGTGAAACATCTTGCCCTAAGAGGTGAGGAAAGGCAATCAGTCAGCAAGCAATCAGTTTGAACCTCTATGAGAAACATGTTTTTGCATATATTTCTCTCCCTCCCTCCCTCCCTCCCTCCATCTCTCTCTCTCTCTCTCTCTCTCTCTGTTGCCCACCTGCTGCTTTATCTCCTTCAGTTTATTCGCCATCAGCAGGACATGGCGCCTGCAGATCATTTTTCACTACAATATAAGTTTATTGTCTTCTTCTCCACCCAGAGATGTATCACAGATAAACAAAAAGCTGTACCTTATGCAGCTTATTCCTTGCATTGATGGATACCAACCTGTCTATGGTGCCAATGCAGGAAAACACTTGATTGTTATTGGAAGTATTAATCAGCTGCTTATTAAGCCTGCAGGAAACACAGCCCAGGAATTAATATATAGTCAGATGGATCCATCGCTTTCTCCTGTTGCCTAAAGGTTGTACAGAAAAATCTCACACAAACACATATAAATACTTTTGCACCGGAAGCATACTTTTCTTATATGAAAAGGTTTGGCAGGAAGAAATTGGCTTTGTGTGAAGTGCTTTGGCATGAATGAAAGCCATATATTGTCAATGGAATTTCTTCCCTTTCAGGTAAAAATTCTAAGGATCCAGGAACAAATCTACCAGTAATTCAGCCAACATGCTTCTCACATTTAGATTCAAGAAATGAAAGATCATATATATGTATATATCATTTATATCTACCATTAATCATCACCATCATTATCTCTATCATCACCATTATCTTTGTCTATTCATCTATCATCATATCTATCTATCTATCTATCTATCTATCTATCTATCTATCTATCTATCATCTAATTTATTTACCGCCCATCTTGCGATTCAAAGAGACACTTTAGGGTTCACATTACACTAAACCATAATCAGATTGGCTTGGTTCTGGCTTGGCACAATGTTTTGACCTAACCATGTGTAAATCATAGTTTACTGCACTGAATCAAGGAATTTGTAGCTTACTGAAAAATTGTGGTTAAAGCAAACTGTGTTTTAGTAAAATATGAGAATCCAGACAGGCATATGTGCACAATCTCTTTGTTAGGACTCTCTGTAGCTTATTTCACATGTAAAATATGCAGCTAGTCAGAAACCGCACCAGGTCCAAATGTCCTTCTGGGGCTCAGGGATTTCTGTCACCTGGGGAAGCCATGGCAATGAATTCTGCAAGAGAACTGGCTCAGCTCCTGCTTCAAAGGAAACGGTACAGTTTTGCATGGCCTGAGTTTTCTGGCGCTGCCAATTTCTTCCTGAAGAAAAAACTTGCCTTCTCCCTCCCCACTCTCCCCACTCCTTCCCGAAGCCAAGGCAGTGCAGCTCCTTGGCTTTGCCCAACCTTGACTATCTTGCTCCCTGCACCACAAGATGCTTAGGTTGAGCATAGTAGAGAAAATAAATCTAATAAACAAAATGGACATTCTATCTGTTTGCTCTCTGATCTTTGGATCTTAGGGTCAAACCCAGTTCACCTCTTTGACTAACCCCATCAAACCTAAGTTGACTTTCCATGCCCCGGATAAAGCATCCTGCAACCACTTCTAAACAAAGAGTAGAGTCTCCTCGCCAGCTCACAGCACAGCCCAAGGGAGTTGCAACCTAGAGAAATCCCAACCTTCTATTTGCTGATCAGCTGATAGCCTCAATCTTCCATAGCCCTAAGAATGGGTTTTCCCAGCATTGCTTCTCTCCTAAAAGGCCTATTTTGCCTAAAAGCAGAACTCGCCGCAGGTGTACAGACAAGGACTTGATTAGCTTTCCCAAACAGAGCAGCCAATCAGATCCCTAGGATTTTGCCAACTTGTAGCCCTCAACTTCTATAATAATCTTGGCTTATCCACTGTTCAGGCTCCCTCTTTCTTGTAAAGCAGGCAACCAATATGGTGTTTGCAATAAACATGGTTCTTCTGCTTGGCATTGTACTCTTGTGCTCTTCTTCAGACTGAATCCACTGGTCAAGTGAGGCTGTCCAATTTCTAAATTCTATGGCAAAACTAGTTAATGGATATAATTATAGACGTCGCATCTTGGACACAACAAATTAGTCCCACGATCATCTTTTTCACTTGCCTCCTATTAGTTTATATATATAACTGCTTGTGTTAGTCCTGCAGTTTTCTTGGCAGTGGTTTGCCCTTGCCTCCTTTCTGGGGCTAAGAGAGACTGATTGGCCCAAAGACACCCAGCTGCATTTATGCCTATGCAGGAGTGGAAGAAAGAGTCTCCAGATTTCTAGCTTAATACCTTCGCCACACCACCAAACTGGTTCCCTTATTTTTTTAATTTATATTCCACCTTTATTATTTTTACCAATACCTCAAAGTGGCAAACATATCCAGCATATCTTCCTCCTCCTATTTTCCCCAAAACAACTGGCTTTTATGGTTAAGGCAAAACTTGAACTCATGGTCTCCTGCTTTCTAGCGTCATGCTTTAAACAAACTGGCTTTAAGTTACAAATGATTTAATTGAGGGAACTGATTATTTGCTCATGGGGTTTTTTTTCATCCTCCTGCTTGCCCAGCCCTTGCATTGAGGTTGCCACCTTATTTTAACACACACCCAATTACAGGTAGTCCTTGACCTACAGCCACATTAAGTCCAAAATTTCTGTTGATAAGTGAGACAAGTGTTAAGTGAATTTTGCCTCATTTTACCTTTTTGACCACACTTGTTAAGTGAATCACTGCAGTGGTGAAGTTAGTAACACTATTGTTAAGTGAATCTGGTTTGTCCATTGACTTTGCTTGTCAGGTCACTAAAGATAATCACATGACCCCGGAACACCGCAACTGTCATAAATATGACTCTGTTGCTAAGCGTTTGAATTTTGTTCACATGAACCCTGGGGATGCTGCAACGGTTGTGTGAAAAATGGTCATGTTATTTTTTTCAGTGCCGTTGTAACTTTGAATGGTCACTAAATAAACTGTTGTAAGTCGAGGATTACTTATATTCTAACAACTATATGATGGGAAGAAAACTATCCCATGAAGTTATTTCCAACAGTCCTCTGGCTTGATTCCTGCCCTAGCCCTACAAATTAACTAGGGCAGTTAGCTTCTGTAAAAATACGGAAGTAAAAAAAAGTATTAGGCCTTTATACTGAACTGGGGAGAATACAGGTAGCCCTTGACTGACAAACATAATTGAGCCCAACATTTATGTTGTGAAATTAGTGACACGGTTGTTAAGTGAACCTCGTTTCCCCATTGATTTTGCTTGTCAGAAGGTCGCAAAAGATTCCGGAACGCTGCAACTGTCATAACTGTGAGTCGTTTGCCCAAGCCTCTGAATGTAAAGCATGTGACCGGGGGGGGGGGGGATGCTGCCATAGTCATAAGTGTGAAAAGTGGTCATAAGTCACTTTTTTTCAGTGCCGTTGCAACTTTGAACTTTGCAGATCGTCACTAAGCGATCTGTTGTAAATCGAGGACTTACATGGTTCTCCTTTCCCCTAGGTGGTGTTGGTTACCACCTTTAAAGCGCTCCATGGCATAGGACCCGAGTACCTTCGAGACCGTCTTCTGCCACCAATAGCCTCCCACAGGCCAGTTCGCTCCCACAGAGAGGGTCTCCTCAGGGTGCCATCGGCCAAGTTATGTCGGCTGGCGACACCCAGGGGGAGGGCCTTCTCTGTGGGAGCCCCAGCCCTGTGGAATGAACTGCCCCCGGAAATTCGTAAGATTTCTGACCTCCGGGTATTGCGCACTCAAGACCCTATTGTTCCGCCAGGCTGGGTTAGCAATATAATTTTAAATTGGATGTTTTAAATTTTGGGGGTTTTAAATTAAGCCAAATTTATTTAATATTTTAAAATTATTTTAAATTGATGTTTATTCTGTTTTTAATTAGGCTGTACACCGCCCTGAGTCCTTCGGGAGAAGGGCGGTATAGAAATAAAATTATTATTATTATTATTATTATTAGAGCAGAGACGCTTCCCTATCCCACACCTTGCATTGCAGTTGCCACCTTACTTTAACATGCACCCGATTACAGGTAGTCCTTGACGTATGTTCACGATTAAGCCCAACATTTAAGTTGCTAAGTGAGACAGTTATTAAGTGTTAAGGTGGCTGGGCGCGTATCCCTTCAGCTCGGCAAACTCCCCACACACACATATACACACCCTTCCCCGTCCCATCCCCGGGCCTTGTGTTGTAAATGGCTTTCATTATAAGCGGGCTTTGTCGACGTGAATGCCGCAGGGAAAGTGGGGCTTGTTGAAAAGCGGCTGGTGGAAAAACCTGACAAATGCCCCGTCCCGCGCAAGCATATCTGGGGGCTCTAGTAGACCCATCAATCCAAGCCGGCTTGCAGGAGATGATGGGGGTGGTGGTGGTGGTGGTGGAAGCGGGGGGGCGGTCAGCGTCCCAATCGCCGGCCTCGCTTTCCCCGGCGCAAACCACACAGCGTGGTAAACAAGCAATTAGCCGACGCGTCCCACCAGGGCCGAAAAGAGCCATTCTGCTGGATTTATCCTCGCAATAAGCGCGCAAGCGGCCCCAAGACGGCAACGGCGCTCGCCTCTTGTCAGGGACCGTCGCGGTCCCACTCCGCTCGTCACGGGGAGCTGCCGCAGGGCCCGCACCGCATGGGCTGCCTGCCTGCCTCGCAAACGGTTTCCGCCACCCCTGTCATCAATCCCGCCCCGCGTCTGGGATGCTAGGAGTTATAAAGGCGCTGCCAGGGAGAAGGGAAGCAGGACAGGTGGGGAGCAGAGAGGCGAGAAGGAGCGGGGCCTCCACCATGGACGCTTCCCGCCTTTTGCTAGCGCTGGCCTTGCTTCTCTCGGGCGGCCTGAGGTCGGTCCGGAGTCTCGAGGAGGCGTTCGGCTCCCAAGAACTCTTGGCCGAAGAACCCAATGGCCACCCGGAGAGGTTTTTAGACTGGATGGTAAGTTGCCCCCGAGGAAGCAGCCGAGCGGGACGCGGGGACTGTTTCGCCCTTCCATCTGCTTCTTCCCGCCTTTCCTCGAGGGAAAAGTTTTAGCCGCAGATGTGGCTGGGGCGTCCGTGGCAAAGCTGCCTTTCCTCCTCCAAACTTTAAACCGGGGGGGGTGGTGTCTATGGAGATTCTCGGTCATCCAGGTCATGGTTGTCCCAAAGGTGCTTTTTCAAGAGGCAAACTGGATTTTCTGGTTTTTTCTTTGAAGACTTTTCGCTTCTCATCGGAGAAGCTTCTTTAGGACTACTTCTGTGACCTGGATGACTGAATCTCCATAGACATTTAGCTTAGACGGGGTGCATAGTCGCCCTCCTGCTCCCACCACATTTCATCTTGACCACAACCTTGTAAGGTGGGTGAAGGAGAAAGAAACTAGCCTGAACTTGACCAGAGGAAAGCTTTGCTATAGATGTGCCGACTCCCACTACCCATCGCTATAGCCAGACTGCCCCAACCTATGTTACACCCATCCAAACGGGACAGTCGCTTGCACCTTTCCTACCAACAGAGACAAGGCTGGGGATCCTGCCATCAGCTTGCCAGTTTGGAGGTGAGGAGGTTAGCTGAAGCTCGACCAGGAGAGAAAAAACAAGCCTAACTGTGACAGGCTTATAGCTAATGGCCTTTGCTCATTTCTATTTCTCAATCCCAACCATTTTTCTGATATTTCGGGAACTCCCCAAGGAGGACGAAGAAGTATCCTTGTGATCCATCAAGCTCTGTGGCTAAGCCAGATTTCTTCTTCTAGTTTATTCTATTATTCTTCCTCTTAACTGCTATCAGTTCCGGACTCAGTAGGTGGTCTTAAGAAAGTAGTAATTAATTTTGGTGCTAATAAAGATCTGGGATAATTCTATAGAGCTGTGTCAAAGGAGTACAGTAAACGTCTGCAAAGTGCGTGGAATTATTTGTGGATTAGGACACATTTTGTGACTACCGTGCTTGCTGTGTATACAACTTAGAATGCTGCAACTTGAGAATTTCAGATTTTTTTCTAAGCATGATTCCAGCAACAAAAGGCATAAGGAGGTTCAAGTTGGGAGAGCCTGTATGTTGCTCTTTGTCGTCCTTATGTTAGTAACAAGCATCCGTGTTTGCCTATGTACTGTGGACATGTGCTCTAATGAGTGACCACTGGATAAATAATATACTGTATATATATACCTTGTTTCTAGTGTACCATACTATTTGTGGAAATAGCTTCCTACGTGATTTTTTTCACAAGATACGCAGTTGATAAATATGATCTTTAGGATGTCTTTTTAGAGGAATTCTGTTTGTTTGTTTTTTTGTTATATGGCTGCTGTTGGGAAAGGAACATGGGGAAAAAGTTCCCTTTAGGAATCTTAAAACTGTCTTGCTGATCAATCGGTGCCTTCGGCTGACTAGAATGAAGAGGCTTCTCTGCTTCCTGGTATCTCTTAAGGGCACGTTTGCAGCAAGAGAATTTTCAGATTGACACAGCCTGTCATATTCTGATATGGAGGCATCAGTTTACCCAAAAAGTGTCCTTGCAAATTCAGGATTGATAGGCAGCTTATAAAGACTCACAGCGTATTAGGGGCTGAAATAGAAGAGCTACAGATTAACTGTGCATTTTAAGAAACACGCAAACTGAGAGATAAAAAAACAATATAGCCAGGATCCAACTCAGAGTGATCTTTCTCTTGTTATAGGCACTGGACAAAAATTAAACCAGAATGTGCTTTTAAGATTTACATCTGAAGCAGCCTTGCCCAGCCTGATGCCCTCAAAACCTACCATTGCTAACCTGGCTGGGGAGGATGGGAGCTGTAAACATATTTATTATTTATTTATTATTATTTATTATTTAAATTTCTATACCGCCCTTCTCCAGAATAGGACTCAGGGCGGTGAACAGCCAGAATAAAAAAACAATACATACAAAATTTAAAAACAAATTAAAATAATTAAATATTATTGGCCGTAAATTAAAATAGCCCAATTTAAAATCATTTTAAAATTAACTCAAGCCAGCTGGAAGATGCCAGGCTGTAGAAGGCTGATCAAAATCTAAAGGCAAGGTTCGCATAACACACTTAATGCATGTTGGGGGTTTGCACAGTACTTAAACTAACACATTATCTAGGTTTCCCAACACATTAAACTTCCCATCTAAAAACAATCTAGGATTAAAACTAACCAAGTTTAACATGTCGCATGAATGCAAACCTTTGATCTTTAACTAACCCGGCTAGGCATATTGTGTGAATCCAGCCACTAGAGTAAAAGCAAAGGAAAACGGCTGCCTGTATTTTGTTATGGTGCAGGATAGATCTTCTCCAATACATAGGTCTTCAAGCTGAAGCTACAGTCAGTATGCAAAACCTACATACTGTTCCTGCTGAGTTGTCTTGGGTCTTCATCTAACCTGTTGTACCTCTTAAACGTGGGGCAAACTCTCCTTCTGTCCAATTGCATGCTCTGATGAACTCCAGGCTTTCTTCCTACAGCCACAAGAGGGTGAGGACCACACTGGTCAGAGCTTACCTGATGACCATCTGCTGGGCGTCCTTCTCCGTACATTGTTCCATGCTGTGCAGAGATCTGGTCGCAGCCCTTCCTTTCTATTCCAGCCACAGAGGTATGATTGATTACAGGTTTATTAAGCAGAACTATGTATTCAGGTGAAATAGGAGCAAATACGTTGACTTCATGTTTCTGTGCAATTTCAAAGTTTCATTTCGGTCAGTTTTCTGGATTTGATTTGAAAAACATTTTTTTCAGTGGTTGCGTTAGAACATCCAGCTACTCTTTCTGGCAAGGCTACTTATACTTTTCATCCAAATGGTGCGCTATTTGCAAAGATTTCACTAACCTCTTGTGGCATCATATATTGTAAATATCAGGCAACAGCTTCATAATTTAGAGATAATTAAAAGAGAACAAGAGATAATGTATAATTGCTATCCAATTAGAGCTTTCCAAAATGTTTTTGTGTGTTTTTGCTCTTTTTTTATGTCCTTGTGTGTGCTAGATGAACTAAGGTCAAGTATTAGTTCCAGCTGTAGGAGAAAAATTAACCAAGGTTGTTTTACTTTACTGAATTCCTGGCTTACACCTTTGTACAAACCAGGAATTGTGTTTGAAATAAACTGCTGATTTCTGTTGTGTTTATTCAGCAATTGAATAGTGTTTATGTTACATCCTGGTTTGAAACTAACAGCAAGGCAGAAATTGGGCAAAATGAAATTGAATTTTGGTTCGTTCTTCCTCCAGGCTACGCAGGGAAAAACATGAGGAAATCAGAACGGAGTTCTTTATGCTTCTCTCTGCTGTTGCTACATACAACTCCTGGCTTACTGGTGCAAATGAATGCTGCCTGTCCAATACAAAGCAGTACTATGAAGTGCACTCAGAAATGAATGAATAAATGATCCATTTGTTGGCATCCCTATTCATGTATAACTCCAAGGGATGCCTTTCATCTTTTCACCTTTCTGTCCTTTAAAAAGAACTAATTACTTCCTGAACTGCAATCCAATTCACTTCAGAGTCAAGTCCTAGAGGCAAATGGTACCCATAATTCATTGCTTCTGAGCTTTCTGGAGTCTTTTGACCAGCTACTGCTGGAGATAGGATGATGTATCAGAGGGAATATTACTCTGATTTCCCCAAAGAGGGTCCAGTTTGTCTCTGCAGGCACTGCATTCTCTGTGTTGCTCTCTGCTTCTGATCCTTTCTGTAGGTTTGGCCGTGAAGTCAGGACCAACATTTTGAGAAGCACTGGCCGGATCAAACCACGAGCTTGGGATTCTCTGGCCCCTCAGTTTCTCAGTATGGCTGCCCCACAACGCTTTGGCAAGAAAAAATGAAGCTGGAAGTAGCAACCCAGAAAAAATAAACACCGAAAGTAATTGCTTCCTGGATCCTGGCAAACTGGACGGGAGCCACACCTTAATTTTCTGCTTCTTTATTTCTGTGTTTTGTCACTCAGCCTTAGCTGGGTGGCCCATCCCTGTTAAGGACCTGTATTTTATTTGTTGTCAACAATAATAAAACAACATTGTTACATCTTGAAGGATACTGCAGTCCTTTTGTCATGTAGATTAGCAGGTAACTCTCTGCAATTGATCTCTTCAGCTACAACCCTCATTAGTTTTAGTCTTCAGGATCACTAAACAAGGGAGATTAGATGTACTTCAAAATATCTGCAGTGTTTTCTGTTAGGGAATGGTATTCAGTTCTAGGGAGGAAAATGAATGGCACATTTGGAAAAAGAATTACAGTGAAAATTACCTGTGCCTTCATAGGTGAGTACATCTATGTAAGTGAAGTCTGCTTTTATGCAAAGACTTCCTCTTCCTCCTCTGTAAAATGCTAAAAAAAATGTCTGTTGGTCACAATGGTGGTGGATTATTGGCAACGCCTGTCTGGGAGCAAGTCTTTAAAACATTGCAAAATGCAGATTCTCCCCAAAATGGATTTTGCACAATGCATAGAGAATTCATTACACTGAAAGATTAATATCCTATCCTATACCACATATGGCCAAAGTAGCTGAATAATACAGCTCGTAGAGTAAGGGATATGTAGCCCAATATCATCTGACTCCAGCTGAGCTAGAAAAATGCAGTTGCTGTTTACGGGACCAGTTACCTGTTCAAATTCTTTCCTTGGATTGGGACTGCTTGCAGGTACATGCACAATATATCATAGGAGGAAATCATTTCTACAAAAATGAGTATTGGTTTGAGGAGACAGAAGACAATCTAGAGAAATTAAGTAAAAGGCGAAATTGTTTGAAACTCCCATTTTAAAAAAGAAAAATGCTTTCTGGACATGAGAAGGGAGGCTTGAGGGACAATTCAAAATTTCTTTCCATACCTGAGTGGTGCAAATTGGCTTCCCAGAGGTTGCTGGACTTCAATCACCTGGAGAAAGTCTGTTGGTCAGTTGTGGGATTTACAGCCTCAGCCCCTCCCTTCTGAGAGAAAATAAGCATGTGGGCAAGGGGATGCTAACTTTTCACCCTCAAGTGTGCAGGACTGCATCTAAACTAGCAGAGATCACAAATAGCTCAAACAGTCTGAAGGTTTCTGGCTTATGGAATGTGGTGAGGGAGGTACAACTCTCTTGTATGCACATGCCCGATTCCTTTTAAGAATTGGGGATAAAATAGGACAACTTTTTATTTTTTAAAAAATCCCATTTTTTTTATTGCAACTCCCAAACATGATAGAAATCAGTCAGTGCTTATGTCCCGGAGAAAACAAAGGTGACCCCAAATGAGCAAAGAGGCAGGATAGCCTCCAGATGGGTTGTCCTTGCCCCTCAGGAAACAAGGCTTCGTAAATCCCATCACTGCTGCAACGTCGGCAAACTTTTTCAAAGTCTTCCAGTTCAGCCAACCTCTTCTAACCCTCCTCCTTTCTTGCAGCCCCATCAAATTGTCTTCCTTTCACATCGATTCATGAGAGGAAAACAAAATGGCCTCCTCAATGGATCTGCAGCATTGCCAGACACATGCCTCTCACTTGCCTCCAGCCATGATTTTGAGGTACTGAAGGGCATTGCGGGCAGCATCAGCGCGGGCAGCAGGGCGGGAATTGGCTGAGCCGTGACATACTGTGGCTGGCTGTGTAGATAGCTCCACCAAGCACTGGTAGAGGCCACTTATGCTCGTCTCATCTGTGAGGGGGGAAAAAAACCTATTCTGTTACTCAAACCAGAAAAACAGCGACCTGTTGCATCTGATCTCATACAGATAGTCCTTGATTTACAATCATTCATTTAGTGACTGTTCGAAATTACAACTGCAATGGAAAAAGTAACATGATCATTTTTCACACGGCCGTTGCAACATCCCCATGGTCACATGATCAGAATTCGGACAGTTGGCAATTTGCTCATATTTATGACAGTTGCAATGTCTTGGGATGATGTGATCACCTTTTGCGACTCTCTGACAAGCAAAGTCAATGGGGAAACCAGATTCGCTTAACAACTGTGTTACTAACTTAAACTGCAGTGATTCACTTAACAACTGTGGCAAGAAAGGTAAAATGGGGCAAAACTCACTTAACACCTGATTGTTTAGCAAAGGAAATTTTGGGCTCAATTGTAGTCAAAGATCAAGGACTATCTGTATACTGATTATTCTTAATTCAGATGAAAATATTCTTCAAATGGAAGCAGAGCAACAGATAAACAACATCTACAAACCTGGCAATTAAAACAAGGTAACAGGACAACAGAAAATTTTCTTAGCACATAGCTGTGATAGTAAAAGAACTTATAGATTCATCTAGTAAGGTCAATGGCAATTTACCTCAGCCTATCAAATTAAATGGCAACTATCTGATCCTGCTTTTGAGAGCTTCACCAGGGAACCTGGTCAGTTACTGTAGCATGGTGGTGTTAACAGAATAGTGTTAAAATTTTGCTACAGTCGTGTACTCACCAGGTGGCCTAAGGAAGGGATGGGGAACAAGTTGACTTCTAGATAAAGATGAATTGCAAATTCCAGGTGGCTTAACTACTATGGACATGCTGCAAGATAGTTAGACTTGTAATTCTCATCCAGAAATCTGGGGAAGGAAAACCTATTCTCAAATGAAACACTAGGATGTGTGCAATTACAGCAAAATGTCTAATCACTAAAGTGATTCTTTTCCATTTCTATTACTTCTTCAAATCTTAAACGTTTGGGGAAAACCCTACCTTAACAGGCAGAATAGGTTTGTCAACTGTGTTTCTGTAGCACTGAAGGACATATTTCCATTCTTGTTTTGAAACTACTTTTAGAAATGATGCATTAGTTTAGTACAATGTAATATAATTTTGCTTATTGAATTAGAATTTAAATTAGATATTTTAAAATTTCATTCTGCTCAAGAGCAAATACATGATCCTTGTAGAGCTAATCTGCATTCCATTGCCCTTTAAAAAGCAAGCAGGAGCAGCCTGCTTAAGTTCATTGTACCAGAGTATAATGCTGTCATTCCTAAAAGAGAGCAGGACATACTTGTCAAAATAGACAAACAAAAATCTGCCTGACTTGGTGATCACGTCAATATTTTCCTCTTTTACATCTAATAAATATAGACCTAAATTAAAGCAGACCAACATTGCAGTACCAAATTCCTGACCTTGTCTGGTTTGTGTTCCAAGTCAATATTTCTCTTTCATAAAGCCAAACATTGATGTGATCCATGTAGATCCAAGCTCACCCAAGTTCTCTCTGACTTTAAAGGATAATTCTAAGATTGCCTGGCCACATTTGCTTTCAGCCACCCAGTTGCTCACTGTGCAATTGGGAAACACAAAGTTGCATTTGTAAATGGACAAATAAATAAGGTTATTCTCATTGAGTGTCTACTGTTCGAATCAGCAACTCAGTGATGCACCAAAGACAAATTCCTTGTGTGTCAAATCACACGTGGCCAATAAAGAATTCTATTCTATTAAGCGATGCAGATGGTAAATGAAACCGCTCCTGTGCTTATGATCTTACTTCAGCTTTCCTTTATTTTACAGACCTGCAAAGGTCCTAAATCCAAGGATTGGTTGTAAAGGTACTTTTTTATCAGTATTGTAAAAACTGGTCACTAAATGAAGCAGTCACTAAATGAGGACTGCCTGCAGTGCACAGGAGGGAGGAGAAAATTCACACAATCTTTATTAACTCTAATTTCCAGCTCATTCCTTACCAATATCAAGGTAGCTGATATCAAAACTCTGCTCTTCGGAGAGTTCCTTCAAGAGGTTGCAGAACCCGGTATTGAAGATTCGGTGGTTTTTCAGATGAAGAATCTTCTCTCCCACTGAGTTGCGCAGGGAATCCCAGGTGCAACCGGATCCCCGACTTTTCATCCCGTCCAGTTTGGTTCCTGCAATCTAAGCAGGAAAAAGTGTTCACAGAGGTTCTGTTTCTTTCTCAGATTTCAGCATACAGTAGTTAATAGTCTTCCTTTTGCTGTTACACAATTATCCTTAGTTTTCTGTCTTTGTTCTTTACTAAATTTCTAGAGAACCCAGTAGTGTTACCAGCCCTTCATCTAAAAATCAGCTACCTCTCTGCAGGATCTGGGAGTGGGAATTGCTTAAATTAGCAGATTACAGTACTTCAAGTTCTAACATTCAAGATGCCCAGGACACAGAAATATGACAACACAATCTGAGAACAAGAATCTTACAGCATCAAGGGGAAATGCAACACTGCCCTTGAAGTTCAACTCTTTGAACCCAGACCTCAACATATTCTGGGAAATGCAGGCCATATTTCTGATTCCAATGATTTATGTCAATGCCAAACCTTTGAGGTCCATGGATGGCGAACTGGAGAAGAGTATTCTGTTCTTAGATTGGATGACTGAGCAGAATTCACCCCAGATATTTTGCTAGTTAAAGCAAAGACAAAAGATTTACTCCATCCCATTAAGAAGTAAACTGGTATTCAAATATAAGCTGTAAAGCTGCCCAGCATAGCATTTCATTACCTTCTTCCTCTTCCTTTCTGCCCATATAAGAGTACTTCTGCGCATACACAAAAGCCTGGGAAATGGAAGGGCGAATCTTTAGCCTTGTTCTAACCATGAGTCAGAAGAGAAGAGGAGAAAAATCCACCAGTCCTCAGTTGCACATTCAAAGGACACCTATGCTATGTTTTCTATCATATTGGTCAACTAGTTTCCCCAATTTGTTGAAAACAATGCACGGAGTGTTTCTGGCTCACGGGAAACCTCCAAAATTGCCACTAAATTGTATTTTAGGGACAGAAACTGTTGTACAAGTCATGTTCATCTTGTGTGCCCATTGCATCTATTTTTGGACAAGCAGGACTGACAGCCCTGGAGGCCATCTTTCTCTTTGGATCTTCAGGGCTGCCACATGTAGTGCATAGGCCTGCTGTGGGAAACTGGGAGGGGGGTTGCATGGAGTGGGTATAGATAGATAGTCAAAATAACATTCTTTTCTCTGGAAGTCAAGGACGTTCAGCCTGCACCTGGAGAGGTGTGACTAGGAAACATCTCCAGTTGGGATGGTGGATTGATTAGACCATGTGATGGACATGTGGGTGCAGGGGAAGGGACTTTTGACTTTCCTTTGGGTGGGGAAAACCCAGGGTGCTTCAGATTCGGATTTTCCCAGATGTGCCAATATGAAAATCTCTAATAAAATGGAACTGAGGAACTGCTGGCCTTGGAGTCTTATTCGGTTGGAGGTGTTACTTGGAACCTTGACAAGGACCTCCTGATGGTGGAGCCCTAGTCACCCACAGGTGGGCTATTGCAATCTGCCTTACATGAAGGCTGCCCTTGCAGGCTACTCAAAAGCTACAACTATTGAGTCCAGACTAAAACAGTAGAAGCTGTAACGAGCATGTCTCAATGCTATATGCCGAAATGTGGCAGAACCACCAGCTGAAGGGGAGGGAGCCCTTCTAGGGGAAGTAAAGAGACATTCCAATTTAGTCTGTTGGGAGGCGAAACATCTGATGTCAAACCCTCAGGTCAACATCTGCAATTTCCCAAGGGAACGCAAATCGTCTGATGAGATTCTTGTAATATAGTGATCAACAATAAAATATCTATTTGGACCTATCCATGACTGGTTCTCCCTCCTTGGATTACTGCCTTGTCGTGGCAAAAGGCTTGCATAGCTCAATGAAGCTAGGAGCTATGCTGTGCAGGGCCACCCAAGACGGACAGGTCATAGCAGAGTGTTCTGACAAAACGTGATCCACTGGAGAAGGAAATGGCAACCCACAAATTGTCACGTGAAGACTCACAATAGAAAACTGGTCCTCTTCCATTTCAGCTTCACTCCCCTCCCGTGGATCCAGAGGAACGTTGTGGATCCGAACCAGCATCTTCGCTGCAGCGTTGCGTTTGGCTAGTTTTTTGGAAGTGCCACTCCCTGGAGGGAAAAGAAAAGTTGGAATGGCAATTTGAAAACAAGACTGATATATTGATCCTAAACTAGATTCACCCCAAATGCTGAATATACAGCCATAGGTTATGAAGACTTGTTTTTTTAGGGCCTTTCAGCCAGCTCCCTGGAAAGTCTTATACTGTACATTCCTCTTTCTTTAATTGGGTGTACGTGAGTGAAGGATGCTTTTGTGCATTGTGTTTTGATTTCCTCCATCTTGTCTTATAAGGGCACCATTCCTCCTTTCACTTTAAGCCTGTTATTGGGAAGTTTCCCACTCTTTTAAAAAGCCTTTAAAAATCCCAGTGGGATTGCTGAAGGAACAAGTCAATAACATCTACCCAATAAAATGTAATTAAAAACTAAGCAGATTAATCATAGATGGATTTAAATTCTTTGCTAACATCTTATGATAGTTATTTATTTAGTGTATGACTTATCATACATGGACTTGCAATATGTATTAAGATTTCACCTAGATTAAAAAAACATGGTAAAATATGAATGTTAAAAGGTTCTATATTCAGTTTAGGGCATCTAACCATTGAAGCACAGCATCGTTTATATATATATAAAAAAAAAGATACTGGATCAGTATATGCCCTCAGTTTACAGCTGGTCACGATATGATCCACAGTTTGACATAGGACTCTGCAGTCACACTGAAGGGAGGTTGCTATGCCCCTTTTATACAATGACTATCCTATGATAGTATACCTATTTCAATAAACCTTTCAACACGACAAGTCATGGTGAATTCCTTGCGGTGTGCTGGCCCGGATTCCTGAGTGACGGTGTATTCTGGGAGTCGCCAGCCCTTCTGCACCACCAGTTCCTGGGGAAAGAGGCAGATTAGAAAAAACATTCCTTTCTGGATTCTTAATGGGAATGGCAGGTCTGGCCCCTTTTGTTCTTTTGGTATTTGTAAAGAAACAATTTAATGTATTTAGAAACTCTAGTATATAGAGTATATAGTATAATGCAACCATCAATTAATATAATGGTTGCATTAAATTAACATATATTTAACTAATCTTCGCTATGGTCAAATATGATTACCACCTGAAGCCATGGTGGCGCAGTCATTACAATGCATTATTGCTGCAGGCTACTTCTGCTGGCTGCCGATTGCCAACAGTTCGGCAGTTCAAATCTCACCGGCTAAAGGTTGACTCAGCCTTCCATCCTTCCGAGGTGGGTAAACTGAGGACCCAGATTGTTGGGGCCAATAGGCTGACTCTGTAAACCGCTTAGAGGGGGCTGTAAAAGCACTGTGAAGCAGTATATAAGTCTAAGTGCTATTGCTATAGGTTGGACCAAGACAACTTGGAAAGCTAGGGCCACAGTTAATGGATTTTACTTACAATATGAGGGCTGAGAAAACTGATTTAATTTACCATTGACCTTTTGAGATGGGGTACGTGACTGATTTCATCGTATGTGACTGGTTTTATTCCAGAGCTGCAGCAAGCCCATCTTCCTTCTGACTAAAAAGCATAATCCCAAAAGACCCATACATACTGACAGGTTGTTTTCCTACAATAGTTCTTGGTCCTTCCTCCTTGGAGAAGTAACTGGAGAGGATCAGATGGATGTGACTACGTGGTTGATTCCCTATTCCTGCCCTCTAAATGTTGGCTAATGTCTCATTTTTAAAAATCAGGGCCTTGAGAGCACTGAAATTAGGTCAGGTGTTCTTGTCTAAGCAAAAGATGAAGCGAAAGGAAGGAGAGGGCCTGAAGTGCTTGGTTCACAGAACAGGCTACAAATGAGAATCAATGTCAGACACGCAGCTTGCATGCCGGCAGCATAGATCAGTGGTTTCTATTACAAAGCCGGATGCTGAAAGAGGAAACTACAGGCAGTCCTCGACCTACGACCACAACTGAGCCCAAAATTTATGTTGCTAAGTGAGAAATTTGTTAAGTGAGTTTGGCCCCATTTTACGACTTGTCTTGCCAGTTGTTAAGGGAATCCCTGCAGTTGTTCAATTAGTAACCTGGTTGACAAGTGAACCTTGACTTTGCTTGTCAGAAAGTGGCAAAAGATGGTCACGTGACCCTGGGACACTGCAACCGTCATAAAAGTGAGTCAGTCGTCAAGCACCTGAATATAAATCACGTAACAATGGGGATGCTGCAACGGTCATAAGTCACTTTTTTCAGTGCCGTTGTAACTTTGAACAGTCACTAAGCGTTGTTAAGTCGAGGACTACCTGTATACTAGAACCCGCATCCATGTGAGTTTTCCCTTCCCTTCCCTGGTGTTTTCCCAATCTGTATTATGGAAATTGTATTCAGTGCAGCGGGACAGGCACCCAAATTGAGGGAAGCTGATCAATGCTGTCAGCAGAAAGTACCTGAGGTTGCAAATATATCACAGCCAAGAAAACTGCTTACCTGTAAGGCCCCAACTGGATTGCACTCAGATTGTTGTGGGGATACTGGGGATTTTATGTCCAGCGGAGAACTTCTGGGTAAAAGGTGACACAAAATAAAAAATTCTTCTCCCCTAAAGTGTTGCTAACTCAGATACTCCATGCACCCTCGCCCACTGCTAATTAAAGGCACAGTATTTTTTTTCCCAGGAAGCTGCCCGAAGGGCCCTCAGAAAGAAAAGCTTTGCGTTGAATCTACATTTGACTGCAAAGAAAAGCATAAGCCAATCAGTCTAGGTGTCAACTTGCAAAGCTTCCCTAACCTGCTCCCGAGTTGCCATAGGCAGGTGGATGGGGAATCGAGCCTCGCAGCTGCATCGAGGAATCTGCACCTCAGTCAAAACAACGCACATCCTAGCCGGCCAAAGTCAAGGCCATCTCCACAGAAACCGGTAACAGCCGGAGGGAGGGACTTCTACAACCCACGAAATTGCTGCATTGGGGGATGTGACTGGTGAAACACCTTGGGGAGAGGGGGAAACAGGGTCAGAGGCAAGGCACGAACTGAGTGGGGTCAGAGCTGGCTTCACTAGATCCATGCCGACATGGCGCTCCTAATAAATAACAGGATTTTTCTTTTAAACTGGCTTGAGGCGCCTGCTTTTATTAGGGCATCGGTCGGAACCCTGACACTAGGTTGGAAGGAAAAATTCATTCAAGATAAACAGGTGTGTTATACATAAGGTGAATCAAATAAGAATCACTTGCTGATATTTCCAACAGCAAAACAGACCTGCATAACTAATTTCAGAGTATTGAGTAGCAAACAAAACGGGGTATGTTCCATATATCTGCATCCTCTATGTCTGCCCAATCCTTCCCAATCTAGATGCTTCCAAGTGAGCTGGACCTCTGCTCCAGAAAACCCATGCTTAGCTTGTAATTCTAGAACTGAAATCCAAACCATCTAAAGAACATGGTGGGGAAGACTATTGGGAATCTATGAAGAGCAACAGGGACAAAACTGCAATAACAAGCACCAGGAACACAGACTCGGAGGATCCAGCTTGTTCTAGCAGAGCAGTAACAGGCTTCAGGGAAACAGGAAGAGTTTAAAGCCATTGGGCAGCTCACCCTTTGTGTTTTAACTTTAGTAATTATCCCATTACCTTGGAGAGGCTGCTGGTAGGATGGGTACAGGCACAGCCACCGGAGCAGAGGTCAGAGCCAAGGGCTCTAGAGAAAGAGAGCTTGAAAATACAAGGTGAAAATATTAAAGCACATTCAGTAGCAGAAATCCATACAGTGGGAAAAGCTTTTGAAATGAAGTCAAGAGATTGCCAAACTTGGAATTCCAGAATCTACTTTATTACTTTTGTCCTTCCAGAATATTTCCTCTACCCAAGCTTCCTTTTATTGCTTAATGTCTGCCCGTTAAACTACTCTAATCCCATAATAACGGATTTATACAACCTGCTGAGACAAAGGTTTCTATCTGGTGTCTGGTTCAATGTGTTGTGTGAACCCAGTCATTCTATTCATTTATGGTTCAGCGTATTGCGTGAACCTAGAAATTGAGTTAGTTCAGTAGTTAATTCAGCTGACTGGTAGTGTAAAAAGCAGCCCGTAGTTCCATGTGCTGAATAAACTCAGTGTTCATTCAGTAGCACACAGTATAACATCATGAAAAAAATGAAATCTCAATGTGACTTGCAGTAGAGCTTGATCAACGATATTTCACACTTTGGCCCAGTTAAAAGCCTCAAGTATTGTGATGCAAAGTAAAGAAACATACGTGGAAAAAGTTCATAGTGCAGATTTAAAACAAATGTTTTCAAATAATTTTTCATGTTTTCAACAGCGCAAGAAATATATTGCAGCCTTGCCTAATTCCAGCACTTGGTTACCCATTTGTCAAAATAGAACTAGTTCTCAAAATATTGGGCTAAAATTAGAAGTTGGATAGAAGAGATAATTGGCTATAATGTGGATTTGAAACCAGAGACGTTTTTACTGGGGATATTGAACAGAACCTACAGTAAAGAAATTAGATATTTGATTTTACATATAATTACAGCGGCAAGGATAGTCTACGCAGTCCTGGAAAAATGAAAAGGTCCCAACAGAGGAAGAAATAATTAAGAAAATCCTGGACTGTGCGGAGATGAACAAATTAACAAAAGAAATAAAAGGAAGATACAGAATATTATCAAGTATGAACTAAGTGGTATGATTGTCTTGAGATTAGGGAAAGCAAAAGTGAATAATGGATGTGATAAATATGTATAATAATGTAAATGAATAAAACTAGAAATAAAGGGACGATAAAGGTAATAAAGAATGAGAAAAATGGAGAATGTAGAAAGTAGGAAGAGGAACGAAGCTGATACATAAAAAGAAACATATTGTGTGTTTGTGTTTTGTATGTTGTGTTGTATTGTTGTTGTAAAGTTAATCTTTAAAAATTTTTTAAAAAGAACTAGTTCTCTTTCAATAATGAATAAATGCAGAATACCAGTGGAAATATAGCATTGCCAGTAGAATTGTAATGCTGGGGCAGAACAACCAACCTAGAGGCTTGCTCATCTGCGGGGCATGGAAAACACAGAGATTGTTTAAGCCCTTTAAAGCTCTGCAGTCCTTTTGGTCTTTGGTAGCCTGCTCAAATATACCCCAAATATTAGTATAGCAGGGGCTTATTTACCTGCCCAATAGTATCACCAATAGTAAGAAAATCCCCATCTTTATTCAAACTGGACACACATTTAAGTTTTTGAGATGAACAAAATATAAACAGTACTAGAGATAGAGGATGCCCTGATAATTCTTAAAGAACATCTGGGATCTCTAGAACTATCCCAAGCAGGTAAGTCCCTCACCTGGCTTCATCCAGCGGCGTCGGCTCTAACATGTTTCCTCCCTTCAGGAGCCTGAGTGCTACTTCTGCCGCCTTATGTTTGGCAGCTTTTTTGCTAGGTCCTTGGCCTGAAAATAGGAAGGAAAGAGATGCCAATACCAAGCCAAAGTCAGAATGAAAACTTCTAAGAGTGAAACATTTATTATTTCCTGCCACATGGTAGAAATCAAGGAGGCATACATGGGGATCCCTGGAATTTTCCGTAGGCCTGGCCCAGCCCTACATAGCTTTAGTAGCGAGGAGTTAAGCAGGTTACAGGAGGGATTCCCAAACTGCGGCTCAGGACATTCCCACCCACCCCAAGGAAGAATTGCAAATAATTTGGGGGAGGTCATACTTTTAAAAAACTCCTGAATAGACTTGTGCAGACAAAGTAGGAGCATTAAAACTCATTCTGGGCCTCCTTTCTCATTTTGCCTAGCACACTGTGCAATTGCAATACAACAAAGTTTAAAAGCTGCTGTGATAGATACATTAAAAATGCATATTTTATTAAATGCTCATTTTATTACAAGCAATCTATTTATTCTTTATCTTATCCTAATATCAATTAAATCATTAGTTTTATTCAGCGGGAAGTCGCACATACTCATTGAACAATTCAGGGGGGGGGTCAAAGGATCATGAAGTTGGAGAGTCACTGGGCTATGGTGTAGAGCTACCAGTTCTGGACTGCAAAAATCCACCAGTATCCACCAGGGGACATTTGTATTTTTACCGGGAGGATCTGGGGGATCTATTATTGCAGATGTTTTTTTTAAGAATTATACCCAAGTCTAAATGATATTGTGAATTGGGACACAATTTAAGGCAAAACCAGCAAATTTTTACTGGTTACAATATATATATTTGCTTTATCTCACATGCCCACACACATGCACATATCATCCACAGTTACTCACATCCTTCTCAACTAGGCTAGCACCACTAGCCAGAGGGGTAGAAGTCTGGATCCAAAGATAACTCAAAGAGTAAAAGCTTCAGGACCCCTTTTAATCCTCCAAAGTCCTTGTGTCAAGACTGAACCGCTTTGCCTCTTTCAAAGTTTAATGCGTCTCAACTTGCCAATGAACTGGGGGGAGGGAAGGGTGAAATGGAATTATGAGAATGTATGTGGAGATTGTGAGAGCACGGAACCATCAAGGTCACCACTGCAGGTGCTGGAGAAAGAGATGGACTGTTCCCATAACAAATGGATGTCTCATAATTGGACAATGTGATCACCCAGGGGTGGGGAAATGGGAAGCTATTGTTTAATTAGGCAAGCAATTGCACGGGGAAACCAGAGCTGGTTTTGTTTCTTCAGTACCAATATGGTGTATCCAATGAAGTTTACTTTTAGGAATTCAAAGCTTCCGAGAGTGTTTCCTTGATTTGGATTCACTAGTTGGATAATTGACACCTTACTTTGTTAATTCACATATCTGGTAGTTGTTAGCAGGACTTGGGGAGGGATTTTCTAAGTGCTCAGGCCCAATTTCTTTTGTCCGATTCAGGGGACATTTTTTCCCTAGGTTTCCTTAATGACTAAGTTCCTTATTAATTACTTCCCCTAAGAATTTTTTAGGTAAGATTCCTTGCTTTTATCTACTGTTTAATTAAGTACCTACTTTTCATATTTAGGTATAGCAGCTTCAGCCTAGTCTCACAAAGACCAATGAAAAATAAGGTAAACTGGTTCATCAGTATACTTATTCTTTACCGCAACTAACCGGTGCAGCTGGTGTCACCAACTGTGACACGAAAGGTGAAGTTGGGCTGATGTGCTTGTCCTTCAGCTTTCAGTAAGTCATAGACGGGTGTTTTGCCTATGCGTGTCCCATACTCTTGTAGCAGGCTGATCGGGGTCTTGCCAGGATTGGACGCCAGCATTTGCTCTATACTGAGGGAAGCATGGAGATTGAGATGAATATTAGAGCTATTCTTGCCTGTTTTCAATGTGTCTGTATCTGCTGTGATTTCATACTTTACAGCAACTTTTCCCAGCCTGATACCCTCCAGATATATTGGGGAACAACTTTGACTCCCCAGCTAGCACAATTCACCAGAGGTGTCAACAGGTGTAGCTCAATATACATGGATACCACCAGATTGAGGAAGAACTATTCTATAACAAAGAATGATCATCTTTCTTTCAATCCCATTTCAAAATATCTCCATCTTTACCACTGACAGAAGCAACTAAATTTCCATAGTGAGTTCCCCAATGACAAAAGGATTAAACTCTTCATTAAAAGTTTTACTACCAAATGAACTCTCCCATTTTCATCTGTAGAAAAATCCAATGAGAATAAATTCAAGTAGAATAGAAACCACAAATGTATACCCCTATGACTGCTTTGATTAAACATGGAGCTATCATTTATTTCTAATGCACAGAAATCAATATGACACCACATAAGCCAGTGTTTGGAACCAACTGGACCACAGTCCAAGAAACCTATTTATCTATATAGGTTTGCCCATATAGTATGGCTGTACTACTATTATCCTTCTCATCTGTTCCACTATCTTCCCTTATTGGTATAATTATTATGAGTATTATTTTGTTATTCTGAGTATTATTACTTTGTTGTTTTGCATGTACACTAAGAGCTTATGCACCAGAGACAAATGCTTTGTGCGTCTAATTGCACTTGACCAATAAAGTATTCTGTTTTTATTCAGTCCCATTCCTGCTTTAAAGGCAGTAAGGTTGAAGATATCCTCAAGTTTAAGCTTCAATCCTGGTGACAATATGGATTTAATTATACTGTTTACTTAAGTATGGAAGTGAGCTTTCCTGGTGGCCTTTCATCCAAGAACGACCAGGCCCATCCCTGCTTATCTTCTAAGCCCAGACAAGCCACATGGGAATAGCATACACAACGACAGTATACATTACAAATGATCACATCAGCTAAACCTCTGTCCCATGTATTAAGAAGAAAAGTGCAGATTCTGTTTAATTCAAAGCTCTGTCCCACTCTTCCCTGACCCCTCTCTCCCCCCCACCCCACCCCCACCCACAACTTTTGCTTTCCTTCTGCTGATCGGGAATTGTCACACACAACTCAACCCTCCCGGGACCCCAAGATGGGACAGCAGCCATAACGAAGTTTAACCGTGCCATGCCAAGCCTAGGTAGGACTTCAGTTCTCATCATCCTCAGCCAGCGGCATGCTGGGGGTGTTAACTAAACTAACGAGCTGGTTTCTTTTCCCACGAATGCATGGATGCTGGCTGTCCAAGGGCCCAGGAGATCTCGCCCCACACACGCCTTCTACTGCAGCACGGTGACCGACGGCAGACTGGGCCTCGGGGGCGTCGGGGGCCCTTTGGATCTTCGCAAGGGCACCCGAAACGCGGTCCTTGAGGAAGGGGGAGGGGGGCGCAAGGGGCGGGGCTTGCCCCTTCGTCTCTTAGCAACGGTCCCAAAGAGGCGGCGTTATTCACCAGGGGAAGCTGCCGCAGCTCCTCGGGCTCCCGCAAGGCTCCTCCGCCTCCTCCTCCTCGCTCATTCCCTCCTCCTGCCCCGCCGCCGCCGCCGCCGCCGCCGCCACCACAACTCCTTCCACCCTCCAGCCCGGCTCACAAAGGCCGGGAGAGAGGAAGCGACAGTCTCCTGCCGCCTCGAAAATGTTACGAGGCGCATCCTGGATGCTGGAGTCCACGCGAAGACTACCGCCACAAGGCAACATTGGCCAGAAGACTACGCATCCCGTAAGACTTTGCAGCACCGGGGAGGAGCAGAGCGGCGTCTCTCGCCATACGCTTCAATGCATTGTGGTTGCCCCAGTGCACGCTGGGAGTCGTAGTTCTCCTGTTGTAAATTTCCAAGCTGTTAACGTGGGCATGGGCGTTATAAATATGCCCCGAAGGACGGAGGAGCGGTTCGAGGAGGAATAGTTTTGCCATTACAAGTAACAATGCGAATAATAACACATCAATCTGATCGAAGCCTGACTTCCGGTTGGCACCGCAGGCGTCGTGGACGGTCTCCTTGGACCGCCAGCCCCGCGATCTCGTAAAAGCCGCTTTGACAGCAATAATCGGCTGTCTGGCAGCTGAAAAACCTCTCCATCGGGAGACGAAGGAGAGGAGAGCCGGTGGGTGTGAGTAGAGCTCCCTGAAAGTCTCTGGAATAATTCCATAACCACATAAGATTGATTGATTGATTGATGCTTGCATGGCATCACTTCTTTTTAGCTCTAATCCTTTCCCACATCTCTCACCCAATTGCTTAACAACGAAGGATGATCCTGCAGTTATAATTCCGAAACCACACAAGATTGATTGGCTATGCTTGCACGGCACACGTATCCATATTAAATGAACCCATGTTCTGGGTTCATTGAATGATGAAATAAGCATGTTTGGGTTCATTCAGGGCATGTAAATGTAAATTTAACTGTTTCGTTATTTTGTGTTGTGCAAACAGCTATGAAGGGAAATACATCATCTGCTGAAGTTCTCCAAATCCAGTAACTTCCCTATTTTTACATCCAAATATATAAAGCTCGTGCAGTGTGCCCTTGTGAAGATGGTACATAGCATTAACAATGTTAAAGATAAGTTTCTGCCAAAAAAAGTCTTGTGGTTTAAAATGTATAGATTAGGAATTTTTTAAAAAAATCAGAGATAAAAGGGAATACCAAAAATATGACCTTAGTTATAATTTATGACTAATTTTTAAAACAAGGCTGAATTTTTCAATTGGAAACAAATAAAATAATGTAGGTTGAAGGAGATGATACTGAACATAGAGAAAACGTATGTGCTATATTATATATATATGCACAACTTGTTTAGTTATACACTGCTTAGGCATCAGGTCAGCATCGGACACAGGCAGTCAAATATTATGACACATATTGTGCAGAAGAATGAATTTTGATTCAGCTTATGGGTCAGATATAAATCAGTATTTCTTTTATCTTTAGGACAGCTTTTCCTATTAACTGATTTAAAAGATTAGACATAAACACACTCCACAGTATAGAATAGAATCTAATTTCTCTAAACTAGAGCTATCAGATCTAAATTACTATTGTAGAAGCCAGATATTTGCAGCCCAGATCTGATAGTCTAGCTCATTGATGGCAAACCTTTTGGTCCCAGCATGTTAAAATTCAGAATATGCCTAACTTAAGTCTGCTGGCATATCAGCCCCCCACCCCCAAAAGAAAAATCTTTCTATATTCATTTATAGTTCAACACATTTGTTCATACCGATGAAAAAACTGATTTCATACAAACACTGATACAGATAGTCCTTGACTTACAACAGTTCACTTAATGATCATTCAAAGGTACAACGGCACTGAAAAAAGTGACATGACAATTTTTCACACTTATGACCATTGCAGCATCCCCATGGTCACATGATTTACATTGGGATGCTTGGCAACCAACTCACATTTACGACGGTTGCAGTGTCCCGGGGTCATGTGATCTCCTTTTGCAACCTTCTGACAAGCAAAGTCAATGGGGAAACCAGATTCACTTAACAACCAGGTTACTAATTTAACAACTGCAGTGATTCACTTAACAAATGAGGCAAGAAATGCCTCATGAGACAAAACTCACTTAACAAATTTCTCACTTAGCAACATAAATTTTGGGCTCAATTGTGGTCGTAAGTTGAAGACTACCTGTAGCGCGCTTATTTTGAACTGTGGTTGCAGGTATCCCCTGGATTTGCACCTTGAAAATGAACTTCGCTGTACAAACAACCACTCTGTGCAGTAGTTGGGAGACACCTGATCTGTGTGACTGTCATGTTCTATCATATTTTGTAAGCTGTTCTCTTTCCTGTCATCACTGATCACAATTCTGAAGATGACAGATCATGTGCTGTTATCAATGGGGAGAATCCATTTTAAGCTTTGGGTAGTGCAGGATCTCATATTTCTTGTATTTGTGCTCAAACAGGGAAAATAGTTGTCAGATTTTGATGGATGCCAACACGTCACCCAAAAACAAAATGTGTCAACTTTGACAAGCATATCATAGGTTCGTCATCACTGTCCTAACTCGAGTGGTCACTCCCCGAATGTCATGTTATTATGCAAATAATACGGTAGTAATCAGTTGCTCAGTCTTTAAGGAATATATCATGTGGGAGTTTAAAGTGCATGTCTAAGGATATGAAACAGCCACTTTTAGCCATGATTACAGGATAAATCTCACAAAACTCAATGGGACCCAAGGGTGTCTTTCTTGATTGGTTTATCGGGATTCGTGGTGGTGCAGTGGTTAGAATGTGGTATTGCAGGCTAATTCAGCTCACTGCCAGGAGTTTGATCCTCACCGACTCAAGCCATCCATCCTTCTGAGATCGGTAAAATGAGGACCCAGATTATTGGGGGCAAAATGCTGACTCTGTAAACCACTTAGAGAGGGGCTGTAAAGCACTGTGAAGCGGTATAAAAGTCTAAGTACTACGGCTATTCTGCATGTATGGGTTCAAAGACAATGGATTTCCAGCCAAACACAAATTATATGAAATATTTGACAACCGCCAGCTGTCGCTTGACAGCCTGAACCTGTACATTTTTAGTCATTTAAGACCCACTGAACTTACATCAGCCAACTTGCACAGACCGGGCTCCAACCAATACCCCTCAACTCCGTACAGCCACATTTCTAACAGAAACGGGTCGAGGAAGTGCTGGGAGAAAGCTGGCATTTTCCAGCTTCGGAGCCGTTGGGAGAGTTTCGGAACTACATTGCCCTTGAGTCAGTGCGAGGGTCCGCGCTTTGTAATTGGCTCAGGGAGAGATTTCCGGCTTTCGCTTCTCGTCCGATTCGTTAACGCTTCTCCCACCTCCGCTTCCTCCCCCTGTCTTCCTTCTCGTCCGCCTCCTGTTCTGCTCGCTCTCTGTCTCTGTCTGCCTCTTTCTGTCTCTCCAACCCTCCACACCTCCCCCGCCTCCGTTCCGACCGGCACACGCCCCATGATTGGCTGAGCCTCGCCGGCGCAGGGCCGCAATTGGATCGGCGTGGCAGACCGGCGCTGAGCTTGCGCTGGTGATGGAGGGAGCGCTGTTGAAATGGACCAACTATCTTTCAGGTGAGTGGGGAGTGTTCCAGCAGGCCTGGCTTCGAGGTAGCGACTAACGTGGGGAGCTCGAATGCGGGTTCCTCGGCTCCCCGCCCGCCTGTATCCTCTCTCTCCCCCGTAGCCCTTGTAGAAATAGGAAGAGCAGCCAGCGACCCAGGCTTCCTCCCGTCTTTGTTCACCCGCAGACGGTACTCCGATCCTCAGGGTCTCGCCCTTTCCTGATCCTTCCCGAAATGCAACGAATCCTTTTTGCCAAGGGATCCTTCTGCCTCTCCTTCCCGAGTCAGGATCGGAAAGGAGATCGGATCTCCTTTTCCGATCCGCCAATATTTTAATATTTTAAAGAACTGTTTTAAGCGCTTGCGCGACTGGAAGAAATGAAAGCGGTTTCTCCAGCTTGGAAACGCAGGGAAAGAATAAACTTCGACCGTTGCCAGGTGGCCTGTAGATGTGAAGCGCTACAGCTTGTGAAAAAGTGACTATATGTTGTTGTTTTTTTTGAAAGACACATAAAGCACAAGCCCGCAGTGGGGGGCAAATCTGCAAGAGGTTCATAAAGATAAACAATAATAGTTGTTTATAACTTCGCTTTGCAAAGGAAAATTCAAAAGCCTAACCCCCCCCAAAGTAGATTTAATTATTAATTAATTAACAAATGTTAATTAGATATTAATTGTTTAATCAATTGTTTAATTTAAAGTAAATAAATTTAAAGTACAGCTTTCTGAAATAAAGAACTGCCCTTTATGATAAAGGGTGTATAGTCACTTTATTGATAGCACTAATCTTCATGGCAGTGTATATGTACCTTTTTTTGTTCTACTTAAAGAACAAAATACTTATGGGCCAATGAAGTCCATTTCTTTATTCTTGGAATGTATACAGTATCTAAAAGCTTTATTTATTTATTGGTTCAATTTATATGCCGCCTTTCTCCGGAGACTCAGGGCGGCTTACAATGCGTTAAGCAATAGCCTTCATACTTTTGTATATACCTGCTTAGTAGGGCTTTCGGGGGCCCCCTAAGCGGTGTTCTTTTTTATACAAAGTCAGCTTATTGCCCCCACAAACCGAGTCCTCATATCTAAAAGCTTGCTGTGGGCATCCCTTTTAATGCAGGATAAGTAAGCACTTGGTTCCCGGAGTAGCCATATTCATTAGCCAATACAATGTAATTGAAGGATGACAACTAGTAAATCCCAAGTCTGTGTTTGCCCTCAGCCCTGAAAACTCACTGGGGGATTGAGCTGGGCATATACTCTCAAGCAGCTTATTGCATAGATGGAGATAAGGCCACCTTGAGCTGTTGGAGGAAACATGGGATATAAATAAATAAGGTAAAATATGGGGGGAGAGGCATTGATCACTGTTTTATTTATAACTACTGAGCAATAAACTTTTTCTTGGGTGGATTATATAAAAGAATAAACACCTCATGTGATCCAATAGAAAAATAGAATAATGCCCCAAAGAGACTGCATGGGGAATAGAACCTAAAATACAGTAATACTGTCATCTCATGCAGGGAATTAGAATTATTTTCCATGATCTGGGTTTAAATGCTGGGCTCAAAATCCTAGAATACTAAGGAAAAGAGAAATGTATTTGCCGGGTGCCAAAATCACAGTAATCTGGAACAGACAACGATTCCTCCTGGAGGGTATTCCAAACTGTAAATAGATTGGGCGCTAACTCACAGAGGTTTCCTGAATTGAACACTTTACTTTTCTGTCGCTGATTCTGTCACTGATTCTTCCCTGGATGGAGTGGAATGGTGAATCTGCTGTGGGTTTTGACTATTGGGCCAAGTCTTGAGCCAAAATCCAAGTACCTTTAAACTAGAGAGAGAGTGACTTGGTGGTTTATAAATGAGCAACCCTCAGCAGCATGATTGCTTCTAATTTAATTATAAATAATGCTTTTAAACAATAAGTATGGAGAGGCAAAGAGCCTGGCGTAAATTAAGAATAGAACCACAAGGACCATGTTGCCCACCCTAGTCAATTTAGTTTAGAAATTCCTGGGAACTTAATCTAATTCCAAACATATGAGGAAGCTTAGTTGGTTTCCCTCGCTCCCCACCCCCCACTGCAAACTGTTTACAGGGTCCAATATGCCCTCTTTTTTTCCTCTGGCCTCAGGTTGGCAGCCACGATACTTTGTATTAGAAAATGGCATCCTCTCCTATTATGACTCTCAGGACGATGTGGGCAAAGGCAGCAAAGGCAGCATCAAGATGGCTGTATGTGAAATCAAAGGTAGGCAGTTTCGGTACTGTACACGGATTAGAAAAAAAGGTAACATAATTTATCTTTCCCAAACTTTGCTCCATTCAGTGTTGTGCGTTATCTTCTGTTTTCTGCTAAGAACTGTAGGAGCTTCACCTTGTTGCTTTCTTTATTTTGGGGCTATTTGCTGCTCTTCCTTTAGGCAGGTGGTTTCTTACTTTCTTCATTAGTTACTTTCTTACACAACGATTGATGCAGCCATTCAGGGAAGCCCAGATATTTTTTTTTAATTATTACTAGTTTTGGTGCCTTTGAATTAGCCTTGATTCATGGCCTTTGCCTTGGCAACTTCTTGCAGCTGCAACTTCTTGCAGCTTTCTTGGCAACATTTTTGGAATTGGTTTGCCCTTGCCTTCTTCCTAGGGCTGAGAGGGAATGACTGGCACAGGTCACCTTACTGGTTTTGTACCTAAGACAAGATTAGAATTCACAGTCTTCTAGTTTCTGGCATGATATCTTAAACCACTGCATAAAACTGGCTCTCTTGAAGCCCAAATTAGATACTGTTAATATCTAGGGATCCCAGATATGGTCCATCAGCCTTGTTGCTTTTCAGCCTTCAAACAGTGGATTGGCAGTCTACTGACAATAATGCAAATTACATTGATTTATTGCATGCTGCAGAGCCTAGATTATGCAGGTTTGACTTGTATCTGCTGGAACTTGTAACATACATTGTAGAAGTTACATGATGCTGCCATGCCTCTACTCTGGGCACCTCCAGTGTTCTTTTAAGTACTGACCCACAGGTAGCCCTTGGTTTATAACCACATTTGGGCCTGGAATTATGGTTGTGTTGGGATCATTAAGCGAGATAGCTACATGACTGTTTCACTCAATGACCACAGTCCCAGTTTTCCCAGTTATGATCATTAAATGGATGGAATGAAAAATCTTCCCTTTCTGCATGGAAGGGAACTCCTGCGGTGGGCCAGAGAAATGAAGTTTGGCTCCTGAAGATCCGAGTTTCATTTCTCCAGCCCACCACAGGTTTTCTCTCTCCCACCCTCCCGCCCACCCCCCGCCCCCGCCCCCATGTGCAGAAGGGAACTGCTGTGTTGGGCTAGAGAAAGGAAGCATGGATTTTTGGGAACCAAACTTCCTTTCTTTGGTCTGCCACAGGAATTCCCCTCCCGTCTCTGTGCTAGACTTTTGACTTTTCAGAAGTACCAAGTCCGTTAGCTTTCTGACTAGAAAGCTAGAGAACACAATGTTTCTAAAGGAAACATTGCATTTTCTAGTGTTCCAGCAAGAAACTTGGAAACACAATGTTTCTGAAGTGTAGACAGAAGCCCTATTTAGCTTTCAGAAACACTGCATATTATATCCCGGCTGTCTGGTTGCACCTCACATCAGCTTGGCACACCTGTCAGCAGCTGCACAAAAAGGCAAAAGTAAATGGGTCCAGGTGTTGCAAGCATGGTGGGGTGGGGAGAATACCTGAACCTTCTGGGTATGGTGGGGTATTGGTGAGGAAGTAGGCAGGGGAGTGGCAGAGACTGGCAACCAGGCTGGTGGGCCTGGTTGGGCGACTGAGATGAAGAGGGAAGATAGGTGGGAACTCTTCAATGGTTGTAACTTTAGGCAGGGTTTATAACTCAGTGTTTTCAGCACGGTACATCAAGGAACAAGCTGTAGGAGGCTTGTGCATTTGCCAAATAAACAGGAAAAAAAAGTCTTGTCTTGCCACTGTGATTGAACAGTAGCTTGATCGGCAAATATCAGTAAATGAAGTAGGCAGACTTTATCTCTTGTTATCAAAAGCACAAAGGTTGCATTTGGAAAACTGACAGTTAGCTCCGAAAGCTTGAAGCAGCATTCCAAAACTTGGTACTTTTAAAGGCGTTTTCATTCAGTTAGGTTAATTTTTATTAGGTTGATGTCTTCGATCTGGAGCGTTCTGGTTGGGTTCTTTGCTACCGTATTATAATCTGTGCTTCCTACAGATTACATAATTGTAGGACATATTCCTTTAGCCCCAGAATATCTCTGAGTCGTAAAAAGATAGATTTATTTTCCCCTTTTACTCCTTCATCTTATACAAGGTTGAAATGTCAATTGGTGGCCATGAAATCATATTTGACATAACAATAAGATGTGTGTCCCTGTGTGTGGCAGAGTTGGGGGGGGGGGAAGTTTATTGATGATTGTATGCTCGCTTTTATTTACCTTTTATTTCTCTCATCCTTCCTGTAGTGCATGCAACTGATTCTACTCGTATGGAGTTGGTCATCCCAGGTGAGCAGTACTTCTACTTGAAGGCAGGAGGTGCTGCTGAAAGACAGAAATGGCTGGTGGCTTTGGGCAGCTCCAAGGCCTGCCTCGGGGATAGCAGAAGCCAGAAAGAAAAAGGTTGGTTCTTGGTCAATAGCTTTCTGTTAATGAATTGGTGGGCTCAAGTTTACAGGGTTGTTGGTAGAGCTGGTTAGTATTGAGTGGAAGTACTTGGTCAACTTCAGTGAGTATTTTGCTCTCCCACCTCCTTAGCAAACATATCTGGATTTGTTGAGCCATTTGCAACCTCTCCCCTCCATTTACACCCATGTTTGCATAAATGAATTTGGTTCTTCTTGTAATAATTAGATTGCTGACTGCCTACAATGGGTTAGAGAAATGGATGTCAGGATCCAAAAAGAAGAGCACAGTGTAGAAATAGCGCTGAATGTGCTGTAGGGTCCCCAGTGCTAATTTTGATGACTTGGACAATTTTTAGGTACAGGTAGTCCTCGACTTACAACAGCTTGTTTAGTGACCATTCAAAGTTCACAACAGCACTGAAAAATGTGACTTAGGACCGTTTTTCACAATTACAACCATTGCAGCATCCCTATGACCATGTGATCAAAATTCGGATGCTTGACAATTGAGTCATATTTATGACCTTTGCTGTGTCCCAAGGTCATGTGATCCCCTTTTGTGACCTTCTCACCAGCAAAGTCAGTGGGGAAGTCAGATTCACTTAACAGCCAGGTTATTAACTTACCAACCGCAGTGATTCACTTAACAACTGCATCAAGAGAGGTTGTAAAATGGGGCAAAGCTCACTCAATACATGTCTCACTTAGCAATAGAAATTTTGGGCTCAACTGTGATCGTAAGTCGAGAACTACCCTGTACTTCAGCAATAAAATGAGGGAAAGAACAGAATTGATTTCCCCTTTTGAAAAGCAAGTTTTCAGGATTTTTTAAAATCCATTATTCAAATTATAGAAGACAGACAATCCTATGGACAAGTGTAGCATTTCCCCCATTTATTGGTCAGTCTCTGAGGTTCTCCAGGAAAAAACGCTGCAACTGGTTCATAAAACTGTTCATGCTCAACGCAAGAAAATTAAGACTCCTTGAGAATAAAAAAAAATGAAGGGTTTAATGTGCAGAGAAAGAAGAATGAATTCCAGGACCGATTGCAGCATTGTTTTACTGACTGGGTTCACTCATCACAATAAACCATAGTTTATTTCAACCAAGGTTTCCTGACTCAGCAAACATGACATAGTTCATGTGACGCATCAAGGTTAATTTAGCATTATTCATGGGTAACATCTTCCCACAGGCCTATATATTAAATTTCCCACTGTCTATTGTGTTGATATCGGATGGCTACTTTTGCAATGGCTTGTCATCCCTCATTTAACCTTTTCCCCCTTTAAAGCAAGCGGTCCCAATTTCAATGGGGGAAACTCACATAGGAACCCCACAAAGGTCTAAATCACTGAGTATAAGGTGGGGGGATGTTAATCCCTCCAAGTAATCTCCCCCTTTAGGATATGAAAAGAGATTAAAGCAGCTTTATGTTGCTGTCAGGAAGGCTATACTATATAGCTTATCCAACAGCTGTGCCTATGCCTAGCAGATTAGTGACAGCCCCCCGGGGGTTTCTTAGTTTGTACCCAGTCACATTATAACTACAGCACAAAGCATCACAAAGTTCCTATTTTGGTTAAAGCACTCTCGGCCCCAACCTACACTATTACCCGGTCTTGGATCCATAGTAAATCTAACTGCTGGCAAACCTGACTATTGGCTGGATGTATATCGTCCACTTAGGCAAAATAAGTCACCACTTATATGTAACTTAGGACCTCAGTTGCTTTGTCAACTTTTCCATGTATGGGAGGAAGTCAAAGCCTGTGCTTAGAATACTTTTAACGTAGCGTATATTTAGGCAACTTGTAGGCCTGTGATGGCGAACCTATGGCACGGGTGCCATAGGTGGCACACGGAGCCATATCGGTGGGCACGCGAGCTCAGCTCCAGCACGCATGTGTGCGCCAGCCAGCTGATTTTCGGGCCTTCTGGGCCCACCAGAAGTCAGGAAACACACTGTTTCCAGCCTCCAGAGGGCCTCTGGGGGGGGGGGAGGCTGTTTTTGCCCTCCCCAGGCTCCTAGAAAGGCTCTGGAGCCTGGGGAGACCAAAAAATGGGCCTACCAGGCCCACCGTGCCATCGCATGCCAAAAGTGGGAGAAGCATGGGGGGGCAGGATGCATAGAATTATGGATGTGGGCACGCGTGCATGTGACCCCCACCGTGTTCCCCCCCGCTTTTGGCACGCGATGGCGGAAAGGTTAGCCATCACTGTTGTAGGCCATTCTTGTGATGCTTCACCTTTTATTCTGCAGATTGTTAATGTTTCCTGTGCTTTGTAATTGCTACTTTATTTTAGTAAGAGGATTCCGAAGTTCTACTTCCCTAAATAACTATTGGAAACATGAGTGTGTGCACAGACACAAGTTATGTGTGCATTTCCCAGAATAAATACCACTGAGACCGTGGCTAAGCCTAAGCCTCTCTTGGCAGATTGGGTGATAAATGTTTTCTCCCATCCCACCCACACAGATGCAGTTGTGCACCAACTGCATTTAACATATTTTTCCCTCTGTTACTTCACAGAAAGCCAGAAAACCAGCTCTCCTTTGCTTCATCACCTCCTAGTTTCTTCTTCATATTGGTGTGTTAAAGAATTATCAAGGCCTGGCATAGTCCAATAAAAATTAGGTGCTATCCATAGGCGCCTTCCTTGGTACCAGCCAGAGTCTCTGCTTCATCTGATTTTCAGTGTTTTAAAATGTTTATTTTTTTAAAAAAAATGCTTAATCTGCCATGCCGCATGGTACAGAATAACAATATTCTTAGAAAATAAAAATGCTGTATTTTTCGGAGTATAAGACGCACCGGACTATAAGACGCACCTACCTTTTTTGATGAGGAAAAGAAGAAAAAGAAATCTGCCTCTGCCTCTGAGCAATTTTGCTTAGTTGCAGCAAACAGCAAATAGCCTGTTTTACTTTCATTTTCATTTTCAGCAGCTTGGTTAGCACAAGGGGGAAAAAATCTGCTCCAGCAATTTACCTCCTTGCAGCAAGCAGCAGAGCCCTGGGCAAAATAGCTGAGAGCAAATCAGTTGAGAGTCAGGAGGCCGATCCAATCAACTTGTGCTAATTAGGCTGTGCTGAAGCTGAAAGGAGCTGTTTTTTCTTGCTGTTTGCTGCAAGGAGGTAACTGCTGGGAGGCAGAGGCCAAAGGGTGGGGGCCAGTGGGTAGGCGGGGCTACATTCGGAGTATAAGATGCACCTATATTTTCACCCCCTTTTAGGGGGGAAAAAGATGCGTCTTATACTCTGAAAAATACGATAAGTTGTAAAAGGGCTTGAACCGTCCTTTTAAAATTGCATCTGTGCTCACTAGTCCAAGAAGATAACTCAACCCAGCTTAGCGCAATGTGCAAACTCTTCCTTAAAAAGTTCTTCAGAGCATGTGGGAACATGAACACATCTAACAGCAATTATTTAAAGCAGCTCTGTGTTCCTGGATCACATGGATAGATGCCTTTGGGTCTCAGAGATAAATTGGTGGCATTTCATTGAAACTAGAGGGAATTGTTTTGGTTTTACTAATCTTTTTGTATATTTACTGTATTTTTACTCGCTCCTGGAAAAGGGTACATGAAACGAACATAAATTGACAATCTATACTACATCGCACATTACATCATTTGCATTTTATTTTCATTGTTTGTTCTATCCACATATTAATGCTCAAAAGATATTCGCATCTTGAAATCACAGAAGACATCTTAAGAGGTCATCTTGATATGACAGAGGGAGGAAGCTTTTTCACTGGCAGAAGCAGCACTAATTCTGTTTCTGCTTAAGTCTCCCGTTCTGTGCTGTGTGAATGTTCTTTCAGTGTCTTGTGTAAATTCTTTGCTTGTCTATCCCAGATCTGGACATAAGCAACGAGTCCCTCGGAAGAAAACTGTCTGAACTGCGTTTGTATTGTGACGTGCTGACACAGCAAGTGCTAGCTGTGCAGGATGCAACACAACCTCAAGAGAATGGATCTCCTTTGGACATCCAGGTAGGGTGGGAGAGAATCCAGAACAATTACAGGTTTTTGTTTTTTGCATGTTCCAGCTAGGTCTGGTAAGAAATCTGTGGAATATTAATTCTCTGACAACATTAGCAAGTTTATTTCTGATCACTGTAGGGCAGGGATGGGAAGCTGAGAGCCCTCTAAGCTTCCTGGTCTTGTATTAGCTTCAGCCACAGAGCCAGTGGGAGTTTGTAGTCCCGAGGTCTCAAGAACCGGGTGACACAATCAGTCATTGCATAGTGCCTTGAAATTAAGCCCACATAACAATCCAAATAGCCAAGAGCCGCTAAGGATTCTAAATCTGTTTTATGGATATGTAAAGCAGATATTCTTATGTTTTGGAGATGGTCTGACATAAAAGAAACAGGGCTAATCCAAGACATCGTTTCCTTTTGCTTGGAAGATTCAAATGCTGCTACAATTTGCATATATCAGCAAAGGTCACAACCCACCGTGAATTAGTTTAAAAAAGCCATTTTTATTTTATTTTATTTTATTAATTTGATTTATATGCTGCCCTTCTCCGGAGACTCAGGGCGGCTTACAATGTGCTAAGCAATAGCCTTCATCCTTTTGTATATTTATACAAAGTCAACTTATTGCCCCCACAACTGGGTCCTCAATTTACCTACCTTAGAAAGGATGGAAGGCTGAGTCAACCTTGAGCCTGGCGAGATTCAAACCTGTAGTAATTGCAGGCAGCTGGTCTTAATAACAGGGTGCTTTAGACCACTGTACTGCCAAGACATTTAACTAAATCTATAGGTTTCATTGAGGTTTGAATATATATCTCACTTTTGTCTCCTTTAATGTATTAATGCACCTGGCACAGATCAGGCCCACCTATAAAGTTAGACATCGCATTAGAAGCAATCACAAATTCAGCAAAACAAAATCTCTCAATTGACAGATACATCTTGGATGCATAATCAAAAGTGCAGCTATTTAATCTGTTGGACGTGGATGACTTATCAGTTGATCCAAGTGCTAAAATAAAATTCCCCGGGGTTTTTTTTGAACAATTTATTCTCTTTTGATCTTTTCATCATTGTTCCAGAAATAATTGCAAATAATTGGGTGGTGGGGCTCTGAGGATTAGGATGGAAAGGCGACCATGCAATAGTGCTGCTTCACTTGTCTGTGCTCTCAACTCCCAACCAGAAGATGAATGAAGCTTCGTCTTTATTACGGGCAACTTGCAGTCAGTTCATCTCCACCCTAGAAGAATGCATGAAATTTGCAAATACTCGTTTGGCTCCTGAGTTGTATCATCCTTCAACGATCCCCGAGCCTTCTGATTTTGTAGGCACTAAACTTCCACATTCCCACCGGGTAAGGCTACTTATGACTTCTTCCTATTTATATTCATTAGTTCTACCCTAATAAGAAGCCTGTTGGGGTGCTTCTGGAAAAACTGTATTTATGCCACATTGCCAGGAAAGAGATTGTCACACTGTGGTGCTGTTTTTCATTCCCATAGAATTAATCAAGAAGAGGCAACTTGATTCCACATAAATCCTTTTTACTGCCCCCATAATTTTTGACCACAGGTTATAGTAGCTGGAATTTATGCGTTTTAGTGCCAAACGTCTGGAGACCACCAAATTGGTAGCCCTGATTTCATTTCTTATGGGAAATAATAACCAAAGAACCATTTGAAGGCATTTTTACTGAATGCTAAATGAATGAAATCTCAGAATGAAAGAAATTCCTGACACTGATCGTTTTATATTTCATCAGAATTCGTGTCTGTGCTGAAAAAGTTCATAATGCCCAAGACATTTATTTGTCTTTTTGTTTTTTAACATGTGAAATATGTGTCTGTTGATAGGTGTATTATATTATATGTTTTTATAAGTTAAAAAGCCATTCTGATTTAGAAATTCATTTGTATTTCTTTGATTTATACATGATATTTTTTTAAAAAAAGACTTGAGGAGCTGTAATCATTTGATCTCAGAATATGGAAAAATGACTTGACAAACATCTTCCCTTCAGTTATCCTGAAGTACTGGCTATTTTAGCAAAGGCTAATGGGAGTTGTAGTGTAAAAGGCTTCGTGTTGTGGAAAACTCTCTTTAAGATAGACTGCACCAGCCCATTTTAGATATAAAAGAAACTGCAAGCACTTTGAACCCTTAATTGCACTCATTATGTCTGTACTACATTAATGAAAACTATAACAGCTCTCCTGTAGTATACATTCTTTCTTTTCAAATAATTTCATTAAGAATCATACAGGATAAGAATAAAAGTCAATGCTGTACAATGCAATAAGTATAAAAATTACAAACATAAATATACAAGAAAAAGAAAGGGGGGTGTGAAAAAGGAAAAGAAAAGAAAAAGGAATGAAAAATAAAGAAGTAACTTCCCCCTTCATCCTAGCAGGTAAAACATTTTTAATAACTTATCACCGTCTTTAAGTAAAACATAGTCTCTCTTTTCCCCATAGGTCATCTCTCAGGTAAAGAAAACAGTGCAAATACTCTGTCAACCAATTTTTGTCAGCAGATGTCCAGTAAGGGTAGCCAAATGTAACTAATTTCTTCTTTTCACCCTGACTGAAAAAAGTCAATCTTAGAAATCTTTTCTGTTTTTTTAATAATACTCTTTAACCCCCTTTAAAAAAGACCCAGAGTTAATTTGCTGTTCATCTCTGTTTCAAAGGAAAAATCCTTCAGAATTTTAACAGAATTCTCTTGTATCCATAGGTAAAAATTATCCTTTTGTTTGTCACTACTAAAAAGTTTTTTAGCAAAGCTCTTTTGTATATCCAGAAGAAAGAAATTGTCCAAATTAGTTTTGTGGTTTAATGTCTGTTCCTCTCCTTTAGGGAATAAGTCATCCATTAGATCCATTTATATTACATTTAAATCAACCTTCAAATTAATTTCATCAATATCCATTGCAGCTTGCTCTTGTTTTATAATTTCAACAGAATGTGCTCTTTCAGTTTTATCAAGTGTTTGATCCATTCTGTGCAAAAGCTTGGCTGAGAGATAGTCAAAAGTTTGCACTAAAGCTTTCAGCTCCACTTTCTTTACCCTCTGTTTCTAGTGTCCTTATCATAAAAAAAAATAAAAAATGAAATCAATCTCCATTCTCCCATGAGGAAGTATCTTCTAAATAATTCAAAGCTATAATTCCAAACCCTTCTGGCTCCTTAATCCGTCATTAGCTTTCCAAAATCCATATACTAAGCACCCTTTTGCTGCGCAGTCAAAAAAAAAAAATGATAAATTTAAAAAAAAATTAAAATCAAATTCACACCGTCTTTTAAGAAGACGAGAAACTCGCCCGATGAATTCAGTAAAACCTTGCTACTCCGAAGGGTCTTAATCTCTCTAATATGCAAAGAATTTTTTTAAAAAAATCCAAAAAAAGTGATTAAGATATAAGGTTTGGTCAAGCTGAGTGTCTATAAAGGCTGCTTTGTGGGTTTTAGCTTGTTGTAAATCCTGACTTATCAGCCACTACTTTCATAAGCTGACCGTAAAAACGACTGTTTCCATGGTCTACTCACGAGGAGCAACTGTCCAGGCTCATGTGGGATGATCTCAACAATCTCCTTTGTTTCGGAGAGATTATGCTGACTCTGATCCAGTATCCGGTGGCACTTTCCCACACAAAGCTGTCTTGCTAGCTAGCAAAAGCTAGCTAAGCGTCCGCTCACAGGAAGTCTCACAGAAAAGTTGTATGTTTTGTACCAGTTGGAACAAAGTTGCCATTATACAGCATGGCTTTTATTTTTGATTCTAAGAACTGCCATTTTCATACCTTGATCATCATATTGAGTTAGTTGCTTTTTTATTACCTAGGAACCAGGCTATATCTGTTAAGGGATCCACAATAATTCACAGCGGCCAACTCGCCACGCCCAACTCACCACAGCCAATTCGCCGCGAGACAACTCGCTGCGGGACAAGAGTTACACTAATATCAAAGAAATGGTGGAAGAGAATCATGAAAGAAAGGATGCAAAAGGAGGGACAAAATGAAATGTGAATGACAAAAATTAAAATATTGTTTTATTTATTTTAAATAATTACATTGAATTGTTAAATTGTCTCGCGGCGAGTTGGCTGCAGCGAGTTTTGAATTCTGTTCTGCTACAAACTGCAGTTATCTATGGGCAGCTGGTGAAAGGTGATATGAAGTGTAAAAGTACTTTACACTTGCTTTATGATGAGAAATAGACTGCTATCTATTTGTGTGTTTGTTTGTTTTGCATGGAACCTCCAGATCTTAGTTTGCTTCTATTACTGATTTGGCTTGCACCAGTGACTGGAGATAAGGCTCCCTAGTGGTCAACAGATTGGGAAAGTACATCAGATAAATAGTTGGCAGATGGTTTAAAAGATGTCATCTGTGAGATTAAGCCCTTAAAACATCTGATAAATTAAAGAGAGTCCGTTTTTCCAGAGACTATGCAGCTAGAGAAAAAAAGTCAAATTAGGTTAATAATTTTAAAAATCAGAATGTGACAGCGTGGGTTGCTACCGGTTCGCCCTGGATTGGGCAAACCGGCAGCAGTGGGAGGCTCCGCCCACCTGCCCAGACGCTTCTGCACATGCACAGGAGTGTGAGCGCACCCACGAGCAAACTGGTAGCGACGAGTTTTGAAACCCCTGGAGTGTGTAGTTGTTATACCTACAGTGACTATCTCCTCAAAACATTTGGGTTTGTGTGAAGTTGTACCTATCTATGCACATGCCAATCAGAATAACAGGATATTACTTTGCGTTTATGTCCTTACCGTTGTTCTTGGGGTCAATATGCTGACTGTGTAAACCGCTTAGAGAGGGCTGTAAAGCACTGTGAAGCGGTATATAAGTCTAAGTGCTATGGTATGTTTTTTTTCTCTCCATTCTTCAGGTTAGACGTTCTATGAGCCACACAGGCATAGTTTCCTCAGACAGGTAAGTCAGCCAGAATATCTCCAAGGCTTATTTTAGGATTGGTTAACTTTCCCAGAGAGTGTTTGGAGTCAGGGGTGGATTTTTTTTTATTTTTATTTTGCCATGGTATTTTGGAAATAATCCCATGGAGTTAAGCATATTCCCTCTTTTTCAGTGCTCTCCACGGTCCCAGGCAATAAAAATAAAGAAAGTAAAATATTGAATGTGGGGTAGCTTAATTACAGAGGTAACTGGCAGCAGATATATCTCAGTAGAGACAACAGAGGATTTTCTACTAAGCATTAGACCTACCAGGCTTCTTTTTTTTTTTGTCAATTTCTCCCTCTTCCTGATTACTTCCTTTCCTTAAATGAAGAGGGTTTTTGCTTGCAAAAGAACTCAGGAAGAAGTTGATTAATAAAGCGGGTAGATGCTATTAAAAACTTTTAATTTCAGAGAATGGAATTGCATTTTAACTTGACAAAACACAAGTCTCTGAATGTCTGAGTTTCAAATTTGCTACAGCTAGTCCTTGTTTACCAACCATTTGCTCAGCGACCATTCAATGTTTTAGTGGTGCTGAACGAGTGGTACTTAACAATTGGTCCTCAAAGTTCCAGCATTGCACACCTCCATGGTCACGTGATCACAACCTAGCCACTTGACCACCGTTGCACTCTTAACGAAAGTTGCAATGCCCCATGGTGATATGATCACCGTTTGTGACCTTCCCTGCCAGCTTTCCACAAGCAAAGTCAAGCCAGCAAGGAAGGTAGCAAGTTGCTTGGTTAAGTCTCCCTCACCTGCAGCAGCCCCATCAGGTCTAAAATCTCCCGTGAGTGTCGCTGCAACCACTCACGCACCTCCCCACCCACCCAGCAGCACACAGCCACTCCCAGAGCAAAAGTCACTTGTGCATGCCACATACTTGCCAATCAGCTTGCTTGTGAACCACCTAAGACTTGCAACTTCTTACCAGCTTGTCGATTGACTTTAGTTGTTGGAACCCAGCAGGAAATTGCAAGGAGGCCCTTGCTTAACAACCCACAATGCTCGCTCAACAACGGCAATAGGGACTACTGGAATTGCTGTTGCTAAGCGATGGGGTCATGTGACATCACACTTTGTGAATGCATTGCTTAGTGATTGAAATTCTGGTCCCAATTAACATAGTTAAGCAAGGACTACCTCTAATATGAAATGTTAACTATCCCTGTCTCTGATTTAATCAATAGGAAACATTATTTTTCTAATTTATTCATTTGGTTGGGTTTTGCAAAGGAGGGTGTATTTATTTACTTATTCTTTTATTCAGAAGTATGAATTCTGCAACGTGTAGTAGAGATTTATATCATATAAATGTATTGGATGATTTAAACAAAAAATGTAATTACTTTAAATTTCAAGTATCTTAACATCTTTGGGAAAACAAATTAACGCATGGTCCTGCCAGGAAATTTGTGTCTTTCCTTATACTGACAACTTTTTCCTTCAAAAAGCTAGAGGACCGTTTCGGAAGACTTAATCGAAGTGGAAATAGCAGAAATCTTGGGGGGAAAGCGTCCATGTCATGCTAGACTTTTATTATTTTAATGGAAATGAAAGCTAAGTGTAATTGACTGGATATCATGAGCTTAAAATAAGAGGATTTTAATGAATTCAGAGCAATTATTCTTGCGACAGGAGAAGCAAATGGGAAAAAGCGCTCAAAGTACGTGGATTAGTGTTCCTAAAAAAGGAGAGTCAAAAGGCACAACTGCAGATGATTCCAATTTAAAAAAAAAAAAAAGCATGGAGCACAGCAAAAGAAATCAGCATGACTGCACAAAACATTTAGCGAAGATCTGAAAATACTGTAAGCAAGGACTGTTCTAGGACAGAACCGGATGAGTAAAAGACAAGCCTTGGAGAAGTTGTCTGGAAATAGAAAGCACTCAGGAAAGCTGAAACTCAAAAGGAACTGCCAAGAATAATTGAAAGAACTTCTTTAGAGATCTTCAAAAGAATAAAAGAAAAGAATCAATATACCAATTATGCAGCGAAGATGGCAAACATGTAACAGATAGCAAAGAAAAGAAAGAGCAATATTAAACTCCCTTCAGACCAAACTTTCACACTTCCTATAAATTAGCGTGGTGTTTTTCCAATTTGATAATTTTAAGATGTACTGAATTCCCAGAATTCTCTACTCAGCATGCTAGCTGGGGAATTCTGGGAGTAAAACCCCACACATCTTAAAGTTGCCAGAGTTAAAAAACACAAACTCAAGAAAGCAGTCAGCACCTTTGTCCCAAAGGTGCTTTTTCAAGGGGCAACTGGACTTTCGGGTTTTTCTTTGAAAACCTTTTGCTTCTCATCCAAGAAGTTTCTTCAGCTCTGGATGAGAAGCGAAACATCTTCAAAGAAAAACTAGAAAGTCCAGTTGCGTCTTGAAAAAGCACCTTTGGGACAACCATGACCTGGATGACTGAGAATCTCTATAAGACAGTCAGCAGTCCTTGAATACCGCCTAACCTCAGTAATGGTCTGAATGAGAGAACAAGGTGAACCCAGACCCAATGGCAGGGCTGCTTGGTTTTGGGAACCGAAGTTGGAAAAGCAGATTTATACTCTAACAAGTAGTCCTTGATCCCCCTGCGGTCATTACTAGAGGTGGCTGCTGCCGGTTCGCACTGGTTCAGACGAACCAGTAGATAAGATTCTGTGCAGTTCGGCAAACTGGAAAATCCCACCACTGGCTGGCCCTGCCCCCGCTTGTTTTTCAGCCCGTTTTCCGGACCAAAAACGGTCGAAAAATAGCCAAAAACAGCCAAGAAACAGGCCAGTTTTCAGGGGGAAAATGGCCTGGAAAACGGCCCAAAAACGGGTGAGGTGGGGTCAGCCAAGTAGTGGGATTAGCCCCAACCAACTGAATCCTACCTCTGCTTTTGAGGTGAGTGGCCGGAAAGGGGGGCTGGGTATGATGAGTGATGTCACCCATCCAGTCACATGACCAACCAGCCACGCCTACCCAGCCAGAGAACCGGTTGTTAAGTTATTCAAGTCTCACCACTGGTCATTACCCTCCAGGTAACGTCTGCATTAACAGCTCATTTCAGCTCCATGGCTAGTATCCCAACTGCGACCTTTCCTGAACCAGTCTGACTTAGCAACAATTATCCCCATCTTTGTTAAAATCCCATCTGGACTCCTACAGTATGCTTTACACGGAGCTGTTTTTGAGAAGCGCCGGAAGTTGTAACGAGTAGAAAATGCAGTGATCAGGCTGCTAAGCAGTGCAAGATACAGGAATCACATGATGCCTAAATGGAAATATCTGCACCGGTTGTCAGTTGCTTACTAAGCACTATTTAAGAGCCTGGCATCAACCATTAAAGACCTAAATGGCTTGGCCTTGCTGTGAATCTGCGTAGTTACTTAGATCAGCAGAAGAGGCAGGAAAGCCTTGTGGCTTATGGAAGAGCTGTGTGGTGCTGCCCCTAAGAAAATATGTTTGTTTGGCCCGCCATTCATCCAGCCTTCAGAAAAAGGGCCATCTCTTCTCACCAGGCTTTTCCCTTTTTAATGGAGCCGATTCTAATAACATTTATTTTACGTCCGATATAATAGCATCGTTTTGATTTTTCGAATTTGCCTTTCTAAATGTGAGCAGCCTTGAACGTCATGTCTGTCTCTATGGCTAGTGCCCCAACTGTGACCCAGGATCAAAGTTGATGATATAAATAAAATATGAACACGATCGTCGAACATTTTTAAGGACATCACCCAGACGAAGATTGAGACTTTTGTCACCTCAGACAGCAGGATGAGGAAGAAGGGATTGAAGTAGGCACATTCTTAAGGAATGTCAGGAAAAACTTCTTGATAGTAAAGCAGTGGACCCAGTGACCCCAGAAAGGTGGTGTTCAGGAGACACATTCAAGTGGAGACTAAAAGACCATCTCTCCCCTCCCCCCGTTTTAATTTAGATTCTTGCACAATGGGGATTGGACTCACTGGTCAGACCTTATTGATGTTTACAGGACTTGGCCTGCTTTCTATGCAGTGTAGCTGGTTGCATGAATCATCAGTTTTTGTTAGCCTTCCAAGGTAGCACAACCAGGAATACTAACTGTTAGTATTATTACTGAGCCTGGTGGCTCAGCAGACTGATAGCATTGTGATTAACACCAGCTGTCTGCAGTTACTGTAAGTTCGAATCTCACCAGGCTCAAGGTCGACTCAGCCTTCCATCCTTTCTAAGGTAGGTAAATTGAGGACCCAGTTTGTGGGGGCAATAAGCTGACTTTGTATAAATATACAAAAGTATGAAGGCTATTGCTTAACGCATTGTAAGCCGCCCTGAGTCTCCGGAGAAGGGCGGCATATAAATCAAATTTAAAAAAAAAATTATAAGGTTAGATTAACAGAATCTTGCTGAGACGGAAAGTACAGGTGGTCCTCAACTTATGACCACAATTGAGCCCAAAATTTCTGTGGTTAACTGAGACGCTTGTTAAGTGAGTTTTGCCCCATTTGACCACCTCTCTTGCCCCAGTTGTTAAGTGAATCACTGCAACTGATATGTTAGCAACCTGTTGGTTAAGTGAATCTCGCTTCCCCATTGACTTGGCTTGTCAGAAGGTTGCAAAAGATGATCCCGTAACTTTGGGACACAGCGACGGTCATAAGTATGAACCAGTTGCCAAGCGTCCAAATTTTGATCACATGATCATGGGGATTATTGTGAAAAGTGGTCATAAGTCACTCTTTTCAGTGCCATTGTAGCTTTGAACAGTCACTAAACAAACTGTTATAAGTCGAGGGTTACCTGTATTCCTCCTATCCTAGAAAACTTGGGAAGGGATCCCTTTCAAAATGCTTCCCACTCCCCTTTTCCTTCTGGGGACTGAGACATCTCTTGTGTGCCAGTTCCTGTCTGTGGCTAACCCGCCTGTCTCCCACGCAGTATTGTAGCATGCCGAGTGCAGGGTTTGCTAGCAACTCCTGCCTGTCTTCCTTTGCAGAGTACTGGAGTCAGCTCGGATCCCCCCGGTGCCTCCCAAGGGCACCGAGACTGTGCTGCGCAACTTGGAGGAGATGGTGGTGTTCTGCTCACAGCAGTGGGGGCAGCCAGGCTCCCAGTCTGGGAGTCCCCCCAGCACCATAACTGAAGAAGCCGTCGCTAGAAGCCACCACCAGATAACTGCATGAGATTGACCTGGGAGGGAAAAAGCAGTGAGTTGGTAGGTACCAGGGGTGAAATCCAGCAGGTTCTGACAGGTTCTGGAGAACCGGTAGCGGAAATTTTGAGCAGTTCAGAGAACCGACAAATACCACCTCTGGCTGGCCCCAAAGTGGGGTGGGAATGGAGATTTTGCAATATCCTTCCCCCAGGAGTGGGGAGGGAAATGGGGATTTTGCAGTATCCTTCCCCTGGAGTGGGGGAAGGAATGGGGATTTTGTAGTATCCTTCCCCCAGGAGTGGGGAGGGAATAGGGATTTTGCAGTATCCTTCCCCTGGAGTGGGTTGGGAATGGAGATTTTGCAATATCCTTCCCCCAGGAGTGGGGAGGGAATGGGGATTTTGCAGTATCCTTCCCCTGGAGTGGGGGAAGGAATGGGGATTTTGTAGTATCCTTCCCCCAGGAGAGGGGAGGGAATGGGGATTTGCAGTATCCTTCCCCTGGAGTGGGTTGGGAATGGAGATTTTGCAGTATCCTTCTCCTGCCATGCCCACCAAGCCACGCCCACAGAACAGGTAGTAAAAAAAAATTGAATTCCACCACTGGGTAGGTATGTAAACTTGTTCCCTGCCCGGTGTGAAATAATTGCAGTGTGTCCTTTTCTATACTACCAGAATGTGCACTGAGGTGTCTGGAAGAATTCTTACCACCTGGGTCCTTAGCTAATACCGTATGGAAGTCCAGTCACCCAAGCCTAGAAGCCCTTGAATTGGGTTTACCTGAGATCTAATCCAGCATGTGGCAGGGTTGGAGCAAGAGAGAGATTGGTCTTCTCTCGTTGAACCAGATTCCCAATTTGATCTGAAATTAGGTGGTAGCTGCCACATTAGCAGGAATTGCAAAGCAGGCAGTGTCAGTTGGGGAGGAGATCACCTTTCAAGGTTTGCCACAAATCCCTGAAATCATGTTATGCTCAGTACAGAATCTGGAGAACAAAGTAGAAATACTTCAACTTTTGCACTGGCGGAGGGAAAGTGTTATAGTACAACCAAGCATTGCAGCAAATTGTGGGGGGAAGGAATGGCCGGCATGATGGTGGGCCATGCCAAAAGGCATAGAATATCATGTGGCCCATAGGATGCCTGCTTCTGCACTGAAGATCCTGACTGTTGCTCCATTTACAACTAGGATTTTATTCTTGGCTTATGAATCCTGATTTACTTGGAAGCCATGTCCTCCTAGTTGAGATGATAGGCTAAACAAACTCTTTGGTTTCGCTTAATAGAAATGATAACAAGAAATAGTAAAGTGGTGATTCAGATAGACCAGAATTCTCTAGGATCTTGACATGTTGTTCTGTGAGTATTTTCTATCTCCAGGTTTACTTTGTAAACTCTGCCAGTAGACGCAACGAGCCTTGCTCTGCTTGAGAGAGTTCCATGTGGTTTAATTCCTCTTCCGCTCAGCTTTGAGTAGTCTTAACTATGAAACTGCTTTTGCAGGTGCTGGACCTGCAGGAACCACCCTGTCCTTCATCTCATCTCTTTTTCTTGTTTTTCTCAGATAAACCATTGTTGGTTCAGGACTTCCCAGTGGACTCAGCTGGTGGCAACCGATCAGCGTAACCTGGATTTTTTGGTGCTTTCTCAGCTCCTGGAATCAGCTCGGCTGCTCTTGAACTGAAACAGTCCGTTGGGGGCTTCCTCCTCTAGCTTAGGAATTACCTAAACTTTCTGGGTATGGGCTCCTGCAAGACCAGCAGGCACAAAGAGCCAGGTACCAGAGGCGGCATCCGTTCTGTTTTTTTCTGGCTTGTGCTTGCCAGGGGTTGGAGAATGCAACCCATATATTCCAAAATAGATGCTGGCACCTAGGGGATGGGTTGGGAAGAAGAATAGGGATTAGCTCTCCAGGCTAGGTTGGTAGGAAAGAAGAGATTGCTCTCAAAAAACATATAGGACGATTAGTAATTTCATACCGGACAAGTTAAGCAACCGTTCTCCTGGCGCTCCCCCAAATGTCTTACGTTTGCATTCGGCCATCCGAGATTTGAGTCTGTAGAAGGACGGCTTTTTGCAGAGGCAGAACAGAAATCTTCTGTCGGGCAACCCTGCTAGTGTTTTGCCTTCTGATAATTGGATGGGGGAAGCCTTTTGGCCAGGAATTCAGTCTAGATGCAAGCAGGGGAGATCTTGGTGAGCTCCACTTCTTTTCTTAGCAGGAGTTTTCCTCCCTCAAACTTGGACTTCCCCACAGAGCTTGCTGACTGGGATAGAGGAGTCCCTCAGAGCTCATCAGAATGCTCCTTGGTTCCTTGTAGAGCACCATAGAGCAAATGTCCAAGGTAACCGGAAAAGCAGCCTCTCTGGACATCTGATCTGAAAGTGAAGTTTGGTTCCCTCACGTATCAGTCGCTTGCCTTTTGCATAAAAGGGGTGAAGTCTTAGTCTTTCGGGAATGCCTGCCCTCTTTTTTTTTTTTTTTTTTTTGTACAGACACATGGCAGCCTTGTGGGCATCTGCGTACACCTCTGTTTGGAGCTCGCTTTCTCTCACAGGAAGAGCCCAGCCAAGGACGAGACTCTTAATTTTGAAAATGAAGACTTTAATTTTGAAATGAACGCAGTGTGACTGGCTATATGTTTTTTTCCCCTGTGGGATGGAAGTTGGCACCACTGGGGTTTTCTGCCAGAAGCAGAGCCAAAAACAAAACAGCCTCTTTCGGGCTTGCCTGATATAGACACAGCAAACAAGGCGAAACTGCATGTGGTCTCTCACCTGCAATACGGTGAAGGAAAAAAAAATGAGTTCAGGAACACCTGGAACTAATCCCTGTCTGTCCCGATGAACAGGTGGTTGCAGTTTTATATAAAGACTTGTCGCATCACTGAAGCCCAGTGCAAAACTGAGAGGCAGGTGACTCATAATGGCAGAAACAAACTGGGAAACAGCAGGGCGCTATTTCTGGCTCTCCTACTGTCCCCCCCATCCCCCCCCCTTGAAGAGATGTCTTGTTTGACTTGTGTTTAATTTCTTTCCTGGGGCATTTTATGTAATTAAACAAGGGCTAGATTTTTCTGGAGGTTTAATTCTAGTTACCTGAGCAAGAATCCACCACTGTGTACTCAAAGCCAGGTATCCTGTTACTTTTTTGAGCATCCCAGGAAGGGTGAGAAGCAGTTTGGGGTAATGGTTAAGGCATCAGGCTAGAAACTGGAGGACTGTGAGTTCTAGTTCTGCTTTTAAGCACAAAGCCAGTTGGGGACCTTGGGCCAGTCCTTCTCTCACAGCCCTAGGAAAGAGGCAAGGGCAAACCACTTCAGAAAATCTGGCTAGGAAAACTACAAGGACTTGTCCAGGCAGCCACCAGGAGTTTACATTGACTTGAAGGTGCCCATGCACGCACACACACATGCGCACACACAAAGGGTAGAAAAGAAATTCCTACAAAGGGGACAACCTTCTTTTGCCGCAAACTACAAGCATTGCCCATTGGCAGTGTGCTCAGGTGGCATAGCGCCATGTTGTGTAATGGAGCAGAACACCCAAGAATTATGACATTAAAGGAAATGATGGCCCCCAGATCTCACAAGATACACCAAGACTTGTACAGTTTAAGCGATTTTGTCGGTATTTTTACTTGAAATCTTGTGAAATCTCATAGAAGAGCCATTAAATCTTCTATTAGGATAGGTTAATTTCGCAAGATCCCATCTTGTTATTTGATTTTAGGAGAGTGCTGGTGTCTTGACTAAGCCTGACCAAGAGTTGAGGTGGTCAGCATTTGGACAGCTCCTCGTTTAAGAGCTAGGAAATATGTGCAACACTAGTTTCAAAAGAAGGAATTGTTCATGAAATGTTTGTGTTCAGTATTTATATATTGGAGCTCTCTTAATGCCAGTTTCCTTCTTTTTTATTTGTCTATCTTTATATGACTGCGCATCTCACAAAGAGGGGCTCTGGATAGTTACAATGGAATAATAAAAACAATAAATTAAAAAAAATAGTATTTTTTTAAAAAATTAAAAATCACAAGGTGTAAGAGACAATAGATGTTAATAGCCACCTCAAGATCTCACCAGTTCCCTGGAACTACCATTTTTACAAAAAATTATATCCAGGGGTATTCTAAGCAGGTCTGGCCCTGGTTCATTCTTAGATGGGCATTTATCATGAATACTTAGGCTGAACAAATTTTTTTAAAAAAATATGTCCTGAAAGGAGAAAGTGACAAACCATTTCCAAATGTTTCCAAGAAAATTAGGTAGGTCTGTGAAGTTATCTAAAATGATGCTGGACCCAAAGGTGATGGAATGGAATGGAATAGAACAGAAACTTTATTGTTACTTTGAATGTACACTAATCGGCATATATTAAAATGAAAATTTGTCACATATAGGTCTCAAAGGGTCACCACCTCCAATATACATGGCATGAACATGACAAAATAAATAAATACAAAATTATGTATATACCCATATATGTTATATGACACAAAGAAACAACACAGTCTAGTTTGGATGTATACATGTAGATGACAAGAAAAACGAATCTTGCGAGTTTACCAGTCAGATGGCATAGGGAACAAAGCTGATTTGATTTTACTTTCTAAAGGAGTAAGGAGAATTTCGCACAGTACAGGTAGTCCTCAATTTACAACCATAATTGAGCCCAAAATTTCCATTCCCAAGCAAAAGAGTTGTTAAGTGACTTTTGCCCCATTTTACAACCATTTTTGGCACAGTTGTTAAGTGAATCACCACAGTTGTAAAGTTACTAACATGGTTCTTAAGTGAATCAGTCTTCCCCATTGAATTTGTTTACCAGAAGGCCACAAAAAGTGATCGTATGATCCCGGGACACTGCAGTCATCATAAATACATGCCAATTACCAAGCATCCAAAATTTGATCACATGGTCACGTGGATGCTGCAATGGTTGTAAATGTGAAAAATTCTTTTTTGTTGTGGCCCATCAGCGGCCTGTGCAGATTGTAGCACCTCGTTCCGACAACGAGGAGGCTGGTGTGCTGCGCCAGCAGCCTGTGCAGCTGATGCTCAAGTCAGACAATGAGGAGGCTGGAGAAGATGTGGTGCCAGAAGCAGGGATTCAGCCAGGGCCTTCAGAACCTCCAGAAGCTCCTTTAAGTGAAGAGGACGAAGAGGAGGAGCCTCTTAATGCATAGGCGCACAGAGCTGCCAAAAGGAGGAGGTCTCCTCAAGAGTAAGGCTTGGGGCTAATTGGCCACTCCCTTAGCCTATTTAAGGAGGAACGCCGCTTGCAGCAAGCTGTAGGGAACAACTTTAGTTCAATCTCCTTCGCGTCTGGATTCTCCGCAAAATTGTTTCTGCGCTTTCTGCCAACTCTAGTAAGACTGTGATTACCTTATCTTAGAATTCTGGTAGGCTGTTAAGACAGTTTATTAACAGCCTTTGGTTGATAAATACTAAGTTATTTGAGTAAAATAAGCTTTGAATAGAGTTTGTGTGTGCTGCGTTCTTTGGGGTCCATAGCTGGGGCAGAACATTTTTGTTCCGTGCCAATCCACTTTCAAATGGTCACTAACTGAATGATTGTAAGTTTTTTTTTTTTATTATTTGATTTATATCCCACCCTTCTCCGGAGACTCAGGGTGGCTTACAATGCAATAGCCTTCATACTTTTGTATATTTTATACAAAGTCAGCTTATTGCCCCCTCAAACTGGGTCCTCATTTCACCTACCTTAGAAAGGATGGAAGGCTGAGTCAACCTTGAGCCTTGGAGAGATTCGAACCAGCAGAAATTGCAGGCAGCTGTGTTAATAATAGGGTGCGTAGACCACTGTACTATCAAGGCTCTTTTTTGAAATTGAAGATGACCTGTGTCTTTAGTCTAGGAATAGATTCTAAAATGTTGCACTATTAGTAGCAGGTAGTGCAAAGGCAATGTATAGTGGCGATTCCAGAATTTCCTTTTGTATCCCCCACTGTTTCCCTTCCATACTTTGGTGTCTTTATATTGGTACATGGTATTTGAAATAGTAACTGATGATGACCTTGCTTGAATATTCCCATCCCTGAGGAAGAATGGGGATATAAATTGGGCCATGTAGTATAAAATGAACTTTGGAGCAGGTAGGCCCTTGATGCTACCTTTTCCTTCCTGACCAAATTGTCTTGGAGGCTGTTTCCCAAGGATGTGGACTCTGCTTTTGGAGCCCCTCCTCAAGAGGTCTACCTATTTGGATTGGGCTGATTTGTGGAGCCTTTGTAAAGGCCTCATACCAAATCCAAGAGTTGGGGCTTTGCTTTCATTTAAGAGAAAAAGCACAGCACACCTCATTTAGAAACTTACAAACTGATCTTTGCTACCTTGGACCGCATTTTACCAGGAGAAATCTAGAATTTACCATGAAAGTCCATTCATTCATGTATACAGATTCATGTCACTTTTTTCAGGCTTACTCTAATATACACAATTACAACAATAATTGTGAATATGGTTTACAACAATAATTGTGAATATGGTTTACTGTAAATGCAACCTATAGTGAAACAAAGACACATTCAAGAGAGCATCCCCAGTGTATTATTTGGGCATCGGAGGTAATTCGTGTCTGAAGACCTTCTGAAAACAAATTGGCTAATCAGTATGCTGTGGGGCACTTTGTCAAATGCTTCGCTTAAATCAAGATATATTGCATCCACAGCATTCCTACTATCTATTAAGAAGGATAGTCAATTAAGAAAAATGATTTGATTAATCAAATCTGTTCCTGGCAACTCTAGGCTGCTGTTGGCTACTGCATTGTTTTTAGAATGCATACGGTGCAATCTCTCAGTTATCTGTGGTAGAATCTTCCTAGCTTTCAGTGTCCGGTCTGGCAAAACTCTAGCTTTTTTAATTTACTTTTTCTTACTTTTTGAAAATAAAGATTTATACTGTTCCGGCACATCTGATTCTTCAGAATTTCTTTTTTAGCAAAGGGTGTTTCACAAACTATAAGCTAGTAGCCATAGAATCCGTCTGCTCCTGAAAATTTAAAATGATTCCCAGTGAGGAGGTGTTTTCTGACCATGTTTGCTTCAGTCTCGGGTTTCAAACCGACCCCTTTGTCCTGCTCTTTAGATCTGCCTGCTGGAACATCCAAGTTTTTCTATTCAATAAGATGTAACCATTGGAGATGCGAGCTCTGCCTTTTCTTCACTACCTGTCCATACAGGTAGTCCTCAATTTACGACCACAATTCAGCCCCAAATTTATGTTGCTAAGTGAGAAATTTGTTAAGTGAATGTTGCTCCATTTTACAACTTTTCTTGCCGCATTTGTTAAATGAATCACTGCGGTTGTGAAATTAGTAACCCGGTTGTTAAATGAGGATCATGAGGTTGCAAAAGGGGATCACATAATTCCAGGGCACGACAACTGTCATAAATATGAGTCAGTGGTCAAGCATCCAGATGTAAATCATGTGACCATGGGGATGCTGCAACGGTCATAAGGGTGAAAAACAGTCATAAGTCACTTTTATCAGTGCTGTTGTAACTTTGAATGGTCACTAAGCAAACTGTTGTAAGTCAAGGACTACCTGTATTTTATCTTTTCCACTGGAGAGATATACTGATTTTTTTCCTTTTGCTTTTATTTTAAGCATATCTAAAAAGGCCCTTTTATTGTTCTTAATTTCTTTCAATAAATACAGACATTCTGATTTTTCATTTTCCTGACAACAACCTACCTGTATATAGACATATGCACGCATGCACACACACACACACACACACACACACACACACACACACACACACACACAGAGTGGTGGGATTCTGCCAGTTCGCACCACTTCAGGAGAACCGGTTGTTAACTTTCTGAGCAGTTTGATGAGCTGGTTGTTGGAAGAAATCATTAGGGCAGAGAACCGGTTGTTAAATTATTTGAATCCCACCACTGCACACACACACATATACACACACAACTAGGTATATAGGTAGCTTATAGTCTGTAGGTATATATGTAGTTCCAGTCTTCCTCTATAGATTCTTCCTTTGTGTCTTGGTTCTTTTTCTACTTTCTGTATTTCTCTTATTTGTTTTCAGGCATTCATTTAGCTTTTAGTGTAACCATAAGCTTCTTTTCCTATCTTGTTTTCCTTCTTCACTGGTATTGATTGTAATTGTGCTCTTCATATCTTCGCTTTTAGAATTTCCATCCTGGGCCTTTGTCAGATCTTTGGTCATGGAAGCCTACTGAGACCCGTTTTTGAAATCTTTTTTGACGTTTTACATTTGCCTATATTCTTTTTTCAGTTCCCTTAACTCAAAAACTTCAACATTACATACTCACCTCCCTCCGGTGTCCCTGCTACTTCCACTTCCCCAGCTAAACCTTTCAAACTGATTTATAGTTTATCAGACCGATTAATCCTCTTGCACCTTCCCTCACTTTTGAAGGTAAAAGTTGTTAGCAAGGTAAGTAAGAAATGTCCTGGAAATACTATGCTTGGGAGAGTTTATCCTTCAGCAGGGACAGGTAGTCCTTGACTTACAGCAGGTCATTTAGTGACTATTCAAAGTTACGACAGCATTGAAAAAAGTGACTTGTGACCATTTTTCACACTTACGAAAATTGCAGCAACCCCCCCCCCCCGTCAGGTGATCAAAATTCACCCACCTGGCAACTGATTTATAAGACAATTGTAGTGTCCCAGGGTCATGTGAGTCTTCCAAACACTCCTCAAATCTAATGGAGATCTCTTTAGGAAATGCTACTTGTGTGTTAAGTTGCAGATTCCATTTGGGAAAATATCCATGGTTTCAGGGGTGGTATTCACTTACCTTCGCTACCAGTTTGCAAATGGGAGTGCACGCGCCACCTCCGTGCATGCACAGGACCTTCCGCGCATGCGCTGAGCGTCAAAAAGGCGTGATTACGTCCGGAGCCTCCCGCCGCCGCCGCTACCGATTTGCCTGAACCGGATAGAACCGGCTGAATACCACCACTGCATGGTTTCTATTTGAACCTTTTGAATAGATACTGGGATAAATGTAACTGACTACTGCTTGTTCTATCCCAGGAATTACTTTCACTGAAGGATTTCATGGAATTATCTTCAGTGTGAACAAAAGGGAGGATATTCACTTCTATCCCCATAGACATACGCCTTTAAATTATTTTGGATCTTTTCTTGCCTAGTTTATATGGAAAATATAAAGCAGGAAGAGGAAGATGGGTTAGATCTGTTCGCCACCTCAAGTTATTGGTAAAAAATAATGAAGGTTATAAATAAACAAATATGCCAAGCCTAACAGAGTATTTGTCACCATATTAGCAAAACAGCTTTTGAAATCCTGAGTGTTGTAATATGGAGAAAACACAGTGATATTTGTATGGCTTAATCCACAAAAGAGTCAGCCATATTGTACCTGGCTGGCTTTGTGAAGCCAGCCCACGTGGTTAGATTTGGAGTCAGGGTGCCTTTGCAATCCTAAGTAATATCTCAATTATTAATAATTGAATAAAATATGATGGTACAGTGGTCTAAGCACCCTGTTATTAACACAGCTGCCTGCAATTACTGCTGGTTCGAATCTCTCCAAGGCTCAAGGTTGACTCAGCCTTCCATCCTTTCTAAGGTAGGTGAAATGAGGACCCAGTTTGTGAGGGCAATAAGCTGACTTTGTATAAAAATATACAAAAGTATGAAGGCTATTGCTTAACGCATTGTAAGCTGCCCTGAGTCTCCGGAGAAGGGCGGCATATAAATCAAATTTAAAATTAAAAAAATATACTATTAATTTATTCATTCATTAAATAGGCTGCTTGGCTCCTAATTGGTGGTTTACGGGTAAAAAAAACAAGTTGTAAAAGCATACAACTGAATGGAAGAGCAAAATACTAAAACTATAACACAAAACTGGGGCTCCACAATCACCTTGTCCTCATGGGTGGGAGAACCACCAAGACTTCAGTAATTCCCTGGATGATACAAGGATGGCTGCCACATAAATTTCTTGGCGCACATCATTCCAGAGGAGCAAGAATTGCAGCTGAGTAGATGTGTTTCCTCATCCTGTAACATGACATTCTTTAATTGATGGAACCTAGAGTGCATTTACCTGCTAGCTAGGCCAAACTGGATGGGTAGAGAAGACTGGAGATGACTGGATCTTCAGCTAAATTCTGCCTCCAGAAATCGGGATGACCCTGATCCAGATGGCCTTCTTTCATAAAGTCCTTAAGACCTAGTTGTATGTCCAGGATCCATGTGTGAAAGGACCCGCCTCCTGTCTATGCTAGTGATTGCAAACTGAGCTGTTTTGATTTTGTTTTTTGATATTGTTCATCACCCAGAAATGTTTATGGGAAGGTATGCAAATTGATTAAATAAATAAATAATAGGGGATGTGGTGGCTCAGTGGCTAAGACACTGAGCTTATCGATCAGAAAGGTCGGCAGTTTGATGGTTCGAATCCCTAGTGCTGCGCAACAGGGTGAGCT